GAAACCACGAAACCACGAAGCCACGGGATTGAATTTCGGGGGAAAGGGCTTAAAATCAAAAATTTTAGGATCTTAACGCTTCAAACTCACGCGACTCTATCTCAAAACGACGGCAAAACGTGGAAAATTTTCGAAATTTGAAAAACGCGAATCCAAGGAATTAAATTCCAGGGAAAGGGCTTAAAATCAAAAATTTTAGGGTCTTAGCTCTTCAAAGTCAAAGGACTCACTCGCAAAATAACGAAAAAGGTGGAAAACTTTCGAAATTTGAAAAACGCGACGCCAAGAGATTGAATCCCAGGGAAAAGGTTCAAAATATCTTCGAAATTTGAAAAAACGCGAATCCAAGGAATTAAATTCGAGAGAAAGGGCTTAAAGTCAAAAGTTTTGCGATCTTAGCACCTCAAACGCACGGAATTCAACCCGAAAACGGCGGCAAAATGTGGAAAGTTTTCGAATTTTGAAAAATGCAAATCCAAGAAATTGAATTCCAGGGAGAGGGCTTAAAATCAAAAATTTTGGGAGTTTAGCGCTTCAAACGCACTAAATTCAATCCCAAAACGACAGCAAAACGTGGAGAATTTTCGAAATTTGAAGAATGCAAATCCAAGCACGAAGCTGAATTTCAGCGGAAGGGCTTAAAGCCCAAAAGTTTTGGGATCTTAGCGCTTGACTTCAAACGCACGAGATCCAATCCGCAAACGATGGCAAAACGTGGAAAATTTTCGAAATTTGACAACGCATATCGCTTACCTCTTTGCCTTGTTTATTTTCTTATTTTGGGGAGGAGGAGGATCCTAGTGGGAGGGATGTTATCGGACGCTCCAAGCTAGTAATAATAGTAGAAAAAAAAAATTATCCTCTTCTTAACTTCCCATCGAATTCTATGCGGATCGCTGTCTCTGGGTATCAGGTCATTGGTATTCTGCCCACTCCCTAAAAGCCGCTGAATTTCGCTCTCCAGCATCAGAGGATATGTCTCGGTTCCGTAGCGCAAAATCGATTATTAGAATATTGATGTGAAAATAGTACTTACTACAATTGATGTCGACGCTGACTGATGAGGAGGTACCTCTCCTTCTAATAGCTAGGTGCGAGTAACTTTGGCGAGTGCGACGTACAGCTACAACCTTCGTCGATATTCATTCATTCATTCTTCATTTACCTAGGAGCAAGAGGTTGTTTATCTCAAGATTTAAGCCTGAAGAGGCTTGTACAGCTACAGCCTTAATCAGAACCCTGACGTGAGACGAGAAACTTCACAAAGTTCCAACGTACGTCGGTCGACATGAATCCTGGCGCCTCGTTCTTCAGATAAACGTTTTTAGAGTGAGAGTTATCGATGTGAGTCCCTGGCAAGACGAGGATCGATGTTGTGCCTGAGTCTGGTAGATGCGCATGTGTCTACCTCCACTTCTAGTACCTCTACTTTTTAGATACTTACACTTACATCTATGATGATGATCTAGTATTCCAGAACTAAGTAGTAGTAGAGTTGTGTAGCATTATAGTAGTAGTAGCATTAAACCAGAACTAGGTAGCATTATAGTTGTGCAGTATTAGTACTTGTTCTCGTAGCATACAATGGTAGCGCACCTGCTCCGTTCACGGTGACGCGCTCAAACACGGTGAATCGCACACCTGCATTTCGAACAAACCCGGCGATACCCTCATTGTCAGCTTCTTGCTCAAATTGGTTACTCGGAAACGCTAGTATTAGATAGAAGATAAGCTATGAATGTTGAGAATGAAATGCTACAATTGGTCACTCGGAAATGCTGGAATTAGAAACAGGCACAACAAAAGAGTCTTCCATACTCCTCTACTTTTTTTTTGAAATTTCATAAGAGAATCCGCAGACCACTTGCGAAATATTTCTCATGTAATTGTTTCAGCTGTGCGTAGTGTCGATCCGTCACGTCTCAGCAACTCGCAACGTTTACGATCAAGAGAACCTTGGAAAACTTCAAAAATTGAAGTCGAGAATAAGAAGAACGACAAATCCGCTAAGGCTTTTCACGAGAAAGAAAGACTGAGTAGCCAGGGTAACCGAGTTGGAATTGGAAAAAAAGAAAGAACAGGTAGAAAGATTGAGAGGTATCTTCTATAATAAAGAATGAAGGAAATAAGACTGAGTAGAGCCCTCTTCTAAGGAGGAAAGACTTCTGAGTAGATGCAGCTACTAAGAGGGAGGAAATACTCAGTTCGAAGTAGGAACTAGAGGGTACTGTCATGAGAAATTGTATAACTACTTTCATCAAAATGCGATTGTTACTTATCAAAATTTTAATGTATGAGAAGGTGTCACGAGAAGTCGTATATCAAAATGTACCTTTCCCTTGTACTTTGCCATCGTTTCCTCTGTTGTTCTACCGCTCAAGCAATCAGGCCTTCCATTTCCTCTATTAGAGCTCATCCCTATCCATCTCGAAGAAAGTCCTGAGATCTTTTTTTCTGCGAAAACGTCTCTCCCAGGATGCCTTCTCTGAAGATGGACCATTAGGGGAAGCCTTAACTCTAGAACTCAAAATCGGTGATGGCGCGACTACACTGGAACCAAGGAGTTGCAGACGGGCGCTTTGTGGTCCTTCGCTAGGAAAGCTGCCGCTTCGCGGTTCAACAGCATCTTGATTTTCCTGATGCGTTACTGATGCGTCAGCGGCGTCGTCTCCAGGGACTAGGATTAGTGCTCTCCAATGGAGAGTCTCCATATTTCATTTTTCAGCTGCATCCCTGAAAAGTATGCATATGGCATTGATTGATTGATTGATTGATTGATTGATGTACCTATTCGTGAGGTAGAGGGGCTACCTAAGTGCATGAGGGAGAGGGGACTGCTCTTAGTTTTTTCTCAGCTCTTCATTTCATCATTTCCATCTTTTTCTGTTTGCATTAAATGTGGTGCTCGTGTGGCAGAGTATCTCACTGCGATGCTCGCCCATACGTTTCAAGGATGCAGCCAAAGATAAATTTGCAACAGCCTTAATAGGACTCGGGGTAAGCGGAAAGCGTAGAGGTCATCGTTGTACATGTTTGGTCGTCTAGGTTCTTTGAGCTGGTTACCCCATCGAGGCTGCCCTGCATGCCACACTGCCTTTGCGCTATACGTCTCAGCAAAGAGCAAAAAGAAGAGAACGGGAAGAACCATGCAGGAAGATGAACTGGAATGTAGCAGATGCCTCCAAGACAACATCATTTTGTTTCTCTATGTCGAAGTACTATGTATAACAGCTCTGAATATTTTTATGACTAAATGGTGTTCATACACATAAAATCCTTCTCGACAATCTGAGCGATGATCAGACCCTGTCCCAAAGTCAACTGAAGCAACCTGCTGAACTCGATCCTCAGCGCAAGCTGAAATGCAGAAGTAGACAAGTTCTCGCCACGCCCGAAGAACGTTGTTGTAATGTGTGAACCTGTCGCCTCCCAGCTGTTCACACATCAAATCCGTCTGGGCTTCGGAGACATAAGACACATTGGGATGAACACAAGAAAAAGGCTTGTTCGGTCCTCCGTAGTAGAGGCAGCATCTCCTCCACTTCTGGCGGAAGACGAGGAGCACCTCCACCATGATAGGAGTACTTAGATTCGTTTCACGACGTTCAACATTAAAAATTGATTCCCATGCTTTTCATTATCGTTTTCTCAGCTACCTGAGACACACTGTGAACCTGGACATGTTTATCTTCCTTTGTGTTTCCCTAAAGGAGGGCTCTCTTCCAACTCGACATTCCCTCGCTTTTCTCTCAATTAAACACCTAAGACCCGTCTTATCTAGGCCCATACCCCATGGTGGGGAAATGGCGTGGCATTTGTTTCACCTCTGTCAGAGTGAAGAAATCTTGTTGCTGCTCACTCTACTAGTATGTTTTTCTTATTCCCAATCCCGGGATCGTTTTACTAGTACTAGTAGTAACGTAGAATGATGACGTTAGCGTTAGTCGGTTTGCATTTGACCTAATTGTAGTTGTACTAGACTTTTTTCAACGGATTTTTTTTGAATTTCAGCCATGGAGGAAATGGAGTAGAGTACTAGAAGTCTTCTTATTCTTTTTAACTTGAAGCATTCCCGGCCGCGTTGGAAAGCGGTGCAAGAAGAATCAGAATGTATGACGAAGAGAAGTGCTGAAATATGACAAGAAGATGGTGGAAGCCTCTAAAAATTGTAGATTGGCGCAAGTTGCAATCTCATGGACTTGAATTACTTTCATGCTCTGCATTTTGATTTCCGGACTGACAAATGTAGTTGAGAAGTATCTATATTAAGATTAAGTTCGTCTTCGTTGAGGGATCTATAAATATTATAAGTTCATCGCTCTTGAGTAGTTCTAGCTGCTCCTAGGTACGTTTTCCTATTCCTGGCGCCGCCGGAAAAAGAAAAAGAAGCACCTGCTAGATTAAAAAATCTCTTAGATCCAACACAAGACACAACCAACACGAGACACAAAACAACATGTCGTGGTCCACTCTTCTCGCAGTTTAATAACCGGATAAACTACACATTAGACAGTAAGATACAAAATATGCAATTACATGGTTTGAAAAGCTCGTGTATACCGTTTTTGAAGAGGATATCATCTATGCTTTCCCCTTTCTCAAGAAGAACTACACTACACTTCATTCCATGCTCAAGCATATAATATGACTGAATTCTCTGAAGTCTAGATAGACCAATCATGCTCCTGTTTGATATTGCAAATAAGGGTCATGATCATGTCGTAGTAAGCGTTTAACATTTGACGTTGTTCATTTGTTTTTAGTTAGAATCATAGGTAGCCCATAGTCAGAATCAGAAATTCTCAACAATCAAGATAAGTTTTTGTGAAGATATTCTCTTCATTGTTGCCTTAGTCTCTTGATCTACACACTGTGAGATTTCTCTGCATCGGAATTTCTGTCCTCCCTGCTTGTGCCTGCCCCCTGCTATATTAAATCTCACAAGACTAATAAAAGTAATTTTCGCGTAGCCAGTCTCAACTGGTTCTGCGGCTCCTCTGTTACAATCATGTCACAGCAACGTTAGATTCATTAGCTCATTCATATATGACAATAAGATGCGTTTTAGTGTTAGTCTGTAACATTTTCCTTTTATTGAGAGTTTATTGGTTTCTTTTCATCATTTGTTCATTTTTATCAGTCTGTGTACAACGATACGATCTTGTTCATTTTCGGGAAGTGGCGATGCCCTAAATACTTTGATAGATGCCATGGTGCATCACGACAATACCTAGGGTTGTTCTTCGTGGTCCTCAGTCTAATTCTAAAAAAATATAATCATTATTTAAGGGTGATCTTCTAAGTAATAATTCTGGTAGCACAACTAGTACCTAACCAAGTCAAAGGCAAACCTCCTCTCGTCCTCTTCTGTCTCTTGCTGCCACCTCCGGTGGAGAGCAATAAGACGATAAGACGACGGACATTACCCTCCAAAGACATCGGACAGTAAGCCGTTAACCATCTGTCTTCTGCATCTTACTGTGTCGCATGCCATGCTCATACACAGGTGGGCGCTTCCCGTAGTATGCACTGGCGTCAAACTCCTCATTTGCGTTACCACGTCGTGATCTACCCCCATTGCCTTGTTCACCTGCGTAAAGGGTTTTTACAGGGTTAAGCAGGGCTAGCAGGGTGAGGGTAGTTATAGCGTTGGTTATAGGATTTTTGTATGTAGTAAAAAAATGTAAATGTGATGGTAATAAATCGTAAATTTATCTGATCTATATAGAAAAGGAACTACAAAGTATATATTACCTTTTGTCCACGGCTCTGGCACTGAAACAGATGCTGCAAGTTCCCTTTGCTCCGCCTCATATTCCCGCCTCTTCATGAGTAGGGCTGGTTGTGCCTGTAGTGCTTTATTTCGCATGTAGGGTGATGTCCAAGCTCCCATGTGATTGCCTCCTACTTGTTGGTTGTTGTTATTGTTGCTATATTTCGAGGAACCTCCATGAGAAGCATACTCCGCAGCAGCTAGTTGTTCTGATAACCACGGATAGGTTCCTGAGCCACCTCCAGCAGCACCACTTCTGCTGTTGCTGTAGTCACCTCCCTGCTTAGAGGTCAGCTGGGCAATGAGATCGTCTCCGCTAGTTGTGGCACTGTAGTGGGACGTCTGCGAACTTCCGAGAAGCCAATCCAAATCCCCGAATCCGGATGACTCGGGTCCAACTGTTGCGGACGATGGCACGCTGCTTGGATGGCCCGATGAGGCACTACTAGGAAGATAGTTCATCTGACCTCCTCCATGTTGTTGTTGACCTCCAGAGGATGCTGAGGCAGAAGCTCCGTAACCGTTCATCACATAGCTCCACCAATTGTCCTCGTTAGGCGCTCCTGAAGATGCGAATTGTGAAGCAGCCGCAGCAGCAGCAGCAGCACTACCACCTCCTGCTCCGGTGTTCATGAGGCTAGACAGCAAGGCATTTTGCATGGCCTGTTCACCTACGACGTTCAATTCAGCCAGAAGCTGATCTACGGCAGCACTTTGGACATTTCCACCTGCAGAGTTTGAGGTGCCGTTTTGCCCTTGTCCTTGAATGAGGCCAACAAGCGCATTCTGAACTTGGCCTCGGTGCTGCGGAGGCAACTGATGTGCTGCTGCAAGCAAGGCCTCCAATTGATGTTGTCCTGGTGCGCCACCCTTATTAGAGGAGACCATGATCATAATTCTTCATTTTCTATAAAGAAGTTGCGAATTTTTCATCTTCTAAGGAGGTTACAGCCTTAGTGGTTTCAGATTCCCCCAAGGTAGGAAGCAAATAGAAATTGAACTACTCTGACAACAAACAACAAAGTGTGGCGGAGATGAACCAACAGTATCCTGTGCCTCAACTTTAGTCTGTTCCTCGGCCTGAGGCGTTCCTTTTGGCCAAGCGCGCACGCTTCCTTTGCCTTGAGCAGCCGCAGTTGGTGATGGTCGTCCCTTGCTGTCATGCTTACCTCCCTTCAGCATGCCTCCGTGCATCACGTGGTATCCTGATTTGCCTTTCGCTTTCATCATCTCTCCCTTCATCATCTCCTGTTTCCGCAGCATCATCTCTAAGGAGCTGCCCTTGCCTGAAACGTGCTCACCTCCTGCGCCGCCCATTGAGAGCATGTCGTGAAGACTACTCATCTTGCCTCCTTTGCTGTACTCGCCTCCCCAAAAAGCTGCGCCTTTCTTACCCGCGGACCAGTAGTCGGCCGCACCATAGCCGTTCTTACCAGCGGAGCCTTTCATCTTGCCTGCTCCTGGACCGCCCTTAGTAATACTACCATCTAGTGAAGAACCTCCACCTCCCTTCTCCATGCTCCAGCTGCCGTCGTCCTCTCCCCAAGGGCTCCAATCGTTGAAGTACGACATCACGCGGCTGGGTCCGTTGTCCTCGTAGAAGTCCCCGTGTCTCCACGTAGTACGGAGAGTGTTGGTCGAGCTGTGCAGCGGTCCCTCCTTGGTGCGGCCGATGAGCACCTTGGGTCCCGGGACGGTGTTGACAGTCGGCGACGCTGGTGTCCGCGAGGTGTCGAACGGATTGAGGACTCCGCGGGCTTGAGGTGTCGGTCGTACAACAGTAGCGTTGTTTGCTGCATTATCATCTGAGGCAGAAGACCCACACGACAAAGGCACTTTTGGCTCTCCGCCATCCACTGAGCTTGCTCCGCTCCTTTCTGCCTGCAGTGGGGGAGCGTCTCCCTCACTCGGATACCGCGTAGCGGTGCTCGCCAGAGTGCGGCGGTCCGTTTTGTCACTGGATGTTGCCTCCAACCCCGTCTTGTGATCGCCATTCTCCGACGAAGAAAAGGAGTGCAAACCCTTTCGGAGCTCAATGGATTTGTCGGCTGCACCACCCGACGTACTGGAAAAATCTAAAATCCCACCAGCGTAGTCTGATGAAGCGAGCATGTTCGCGAGACTAGTACTTCCACCACCCTCATTAGACCTTACCCAAATTCATCTTCAAGCACATCTTTGACCTTTTTCATCTCACAAACTTTGTAAGAGTGTCAAATATATAAGATGGGTCTTTGGAATCAATTGGATGAATTTGGCAAGCCTTAACTTCAGCACCAGAAAAGGGATTCCCTGGTGTCGATGCGTCTTTCGACGACGCGTCTCCCAGATGGTGCGTCGACGGACTAGATGAGGTACCTTTCTCTCCAGGAGGGCTGGAGCCTCCGTCTGCGCCTGTGCTGATATTAGACCTTATACCGATATTCATCTTGGAGCGCCTCTTCCACCTATTTTAATTTTTCCCCCTTAAGAAAGGAAGCATGATGTCATCAAAGATGTTCGTTGCCCTTCTGAAAGAAACTGAAACTCAAGATATATAATAAGATGAACCTAGGACTTTCTAAGATCAGTATTTCGGGTATATATAAAAATCCAGCCTTAATGATACTGTCCTGCCCATTCCCGTTGTCGATGCTGCCGCTTCCTGCACTGAGACTCTCCGATCGGTTGCGAGGAACCCGCGGTGGGGGTCGCAAGATCGGCAAAGGCGTCGACATCTCTTCGTCTTCCTCCTGCTCTAGTACTTTTAACGAAGAAGTAGCTTCTACTAGTATAGCTCCTTTATTTTCTTTTCCCGATGAAGAAGTAGATGTCTTCGTCTTCGTGGACGATAGTACAACAGTCTCAACGATCTTATCGAAGTCCAGCGGAGGGCCTGCAGTTGTAAGCGACGACGAAGAGCAACTCTGAAGTCGTGAAGTATCTCCAATAAAAGCACTTACTACACTGCTACTGCAAGTACTAGAGGCCGCTCTAGTACTACACGACGTAGACGTTGAGACTACTTTGTTTAGTGCCTCCTCGCCAGAAGCACCACAGGAAACTGTAGTATCAGGAAAGTCCACGACCGTCGTAGTCACTGCTCCTGATCGCAGATCCTCGTGTAACTGGAAGTAGATGCCACTAGTTCGCTTAGGACGAGTCTTGCTGTCGGTAATTTCCGCTTGCGCGCAAAGCTTACCAGCACTAACGGAATTGGTAGAAGAAGAGGCGTTCTTCTTCTTCTGATCTGGAGTTGCCAAATCGTCCTCGTCAGCAGGTTCGAAGAGAAACAACCGTGATCGTACTGCGAGTTCCTCCACGCCCTATGGAGGAAGAAAAATAATTTTCCACAGTCGGTATGATAGATACGACTGTTGAGTTGTAGGTAGTGCTAGTACGGGTAGTGATAGATACTAGATACAGTAATGAATGTGGTATTGAAAAACTACTACTTTTTACTACGTCTAGGATTACTTCTCAACCAATGATCGATGTTGTTTCTACGAATGATGACTTCAACTCTTGGTATCCTTTTTCGTTAGTTAGTACAGAGAATCAATCTACGTCGTAAGGGCTATCTTACAGGATATGCGGAGCAGGATGGAAGTTATGGGGATACCAAAACTCTTTTTTTACTTTCAATGAAAATCTTGTTCGCGATTATACTCCTTAACTTTAATCTACGGAAAAATTCTAATGAAAATGCTAGACGTTCTCGAAAAATTATCTACCTAGACAACGTGATAAGCAAGTTGATCATAAGTCACTATGAGGAGGCGCGCAATGAATTCGGTTTTTCCTATTGATTTGAGTCTGCAGTAGTCGTTGATATTAACAAAGAAATCCTCCTTCGATATCGATGTCTATTTTGTCCTTAATTATCTCAAATTATGAATGTTGTAGCCAATGGGTAATTACTGCAACATAGCCAAGAAGACCCAATGCTTACTTGTTTTGTATAATTCGACTTCCACGAGAGAGTGCCGATAACGATATAAAGTCGAACACGAAGGAATTACTTTTCTGTAGTTCTAGTTACTGCCATAACATCGATTGCGATCGCGACGATGTCGTTTTACCCACGAGAACGATTTTTACACGTTGTTCTTACAAGCTAAGTTTTCGTTATGCGAATGTGATAGTATGTCAATGTTGAACAAGATTGCCGCACTACCTAGTACCCTCAAGCATGTTGAAAAAAAACGACACCTACACTAACCCTAAAAATCGTAAATAATCTGTGTGAAGTATTTATGTTGATCTGATCCAAAATATCGACTACATTATAACCTTCGTTTTGCACACTTCTAGAAAAAGTACAGAGGATGAACCTAATAAATCACTCAATTACTCACTAAATACGATTAGAACAAAACAAGAAAGTGGAAAAGACAAGGCGCACTGCGTCAGGGCAACGAATTGACCAGACAATGACCTGTGGGGATTTGGGGTAAGAACGACAAAATCCTTGTCCTTCGATCCTCACACCTCCTACCGAGATGCTTTATAGGTTAGGCTATGCGATCTTTAGGTGAATATTTTTCAACCGACTTCATGATGTGCAAGACACTGTATTCGACTAGCAAGAATCGAAGACGATATTAACGAAGATATCTACAAAGAAGTAATTACATCATACATCCAGGAAGCCAAGCAGGAAAACAAACTCTCTCCTCAAACATGAAACTAGGTGTCTCTTTCCTCAGACGAGGCTTCTGACGGAGCTCTTCTCTCTCTCTCTCATCAAAAAAAGCAGGTGGAACACCGTTTGCCTCACAAGGAACAGAATCTTGATCAAAGAAACGAGCACCACGGGTCGGTGCACAGATACGAAACAAACCTTTTGCAAGCAGTATGTGAGGACAACTCTCGTGTCAGAACTGTACAATATCTCTGCAACAGATAACGCAGCATCTCAGACTCACAGATCCACGGAATCAATCATGAGTAACAAAAAAATTTACCTTCTCACAATTGGGAATTACAGGAAAGAGCGCTCGCTCTTAACGTCGTCCGGAGGAGACGACCATTTACAGACATTCCTTGTCTTCCTACAGATCTGTTATCCTAGAGGTGCCCGCTCAGTCAAAATTTTCAACAGAGTCTACCTTTGGAAGAAAAACATCCCTCTCACTCTCTCTCTCTCTTTCTCTCCCTCTCTCTCAAAATCGCTCGTTCAAGGCACAGGTCTGTCTTTCATGCTCGTGCTTCCTGGTGAAAAATCATACGGGACTAAGCCTAGTAACAAACCTTTATCTCATATTACATGCTTATATAAATTCTACCTGTTTTGCAATATTTGGAAGTAGCTGCAGAAGATGATGGTCATTTGATTTTGATCAGACAAATCTACAACTAGAAGACCAAGAAATTCGAATTCCTTGAAATTGTGTTACTCGCTAAGCTGAGTTGGAAGTCTTCGACTTTCACGAAGCAAACCGTCAACAGATCTTAGAACCAATATAGTACCTCAGCAGCCGCAGCACCCAAAGATGGTTCTTGGTCTCTGGGACCCTGAAACGCAAATGCCGGCTTAGCAGGCGTATTGCACGGCGTCGGGAAAACGCCGAAAGAGCTAGAAGCACGTTCCAACATGATCGAAGAGGTTTGTGGAGGTCGCGACAGTGAAGATAATCGTGGCTGCATGCAGTTGTCTTCGTCATTTCTACCTGCTAAAAAGTTGCCATGAAGCCGGAAGGCCACGCTCTTCTGCGGTTCGCCGAGGCTCATGACCACAGTCTGTTCTCCTAGTTGTATCTTCTGACCGCCTGTAGTAGAAGTGTTGCGACCGCTCTTCTCACATGGCACTTTTTTTTGAGATTCCCCTTTTGCCGATGAAGAAGACGACGACGACGATGAAGAAGACGAGGAAGCCGATGAAGAAGACGACGAAGCCGATGAAGAAGACGACGAAGCCGATGAAGAAGACGACGACGACGACGATGATGAAGACGATGATGACGATGATGACGATGATGATGGCACTGAAGAAGAGGATGAAGAAGACGCCTTTTTACGGTCACGTTGACTGGGGGACGTGAAAATATTCGTCTCTCCCTCCGGAGCTTCGCATGCCAAGTTTCGCTCTTCCTGTGAAATCTGTAAGGCTACAGGATCCGGATGCATGCGTCGCCTCTTCGCGCGAAAGAGCTCATCGTCATGGGAAAGTGCAGAATCCGGAGAATCCATCTCCAACAAATCAAAAAATACATCCATGATAGAAGTGATAGGCAAACTTTTTTAAGGTAAAGATTATTGATGATAGATTCTGCCTCTGCGACAGATGCTTGTATACACGACTGCCAACGGGTATTAACTTTTTATGCTGATGCTCATTCAAAATACTTTAAAAAAGCTAGTACTTACTTTAAACGACTAAAAACTGAGTGCTGAAAACGCATCTGGTCCTCTTGCATGACAAAATGGAGATTGTGTGCGTCTTAATGATCTTAGTGCGCAAAAAAATGATACACTTAAACTTTCGACTAGTAGTACTAATTCGGATCAGAATCGACTAAAATCACTAGAACTACCACTTTAACTGAATTCCATTAAAAAACTATTCACCAAATATTACTTGTCATCTGTACAAAATTCCTTCCAATCGAAAAAAATCAGGCGAAACGTCTGTCGACCCTAGCACTAGGGTACAGCTATGACACTATTGGGACACTGTGACTGTGTGCGGTTGAATATCCCGAACTCCAACATCTGCGCAAAAAAGCTCCTGCAGCATGTAAAATCATGACACTATCATCTCTCTCATGACGTTTTCTAGAAGAATGATCAGTGTACAACACTTACTTTAAATGCAAGCTTCGATGCTCTTTATTCGACAAAAAAAATGAGACAAAGTATCCACTCGGGGCTACTATGAAGATAATCGTTGATAGAGCTTAATATGTTGTTGGTGTGTACTCGTAAACTGTTTCCTCGTTTTCGTCACTCGGTATCCGCACCTCCAGCTGCCCGATCACATGTATTGAATGATACAGATCCGCTTTATTCTACTCACATCCGCTATATTCTACTCACTCGATCTTCTCAACTATTCTTACCTACTCTTTTCATTCGTTGATCGTGGTATCGTGAAACAATTTGGCAAATTTGGCCGTCCTATGGACCTAAATAATCATCACGGCATAAATCTAGGTAGTAGGTGTCTACCACTACCATAATATTTCGTTTGCTTTAGGATTTGGATTACTTCGACTGACAAGATGAGTCGTCGTGAACGTGATCAGTATTATCCCATAAAAAACAAGAGATGCAACTCGGGGAAAACAAAGAGACCACTCTAAGTCATTCTACTTGCTTGTTTTCCAAGTGAAAAAAACTCCCTCTTTCTCCCAGCTCGTTGTCCTACCCCAAGCAGGACTAAACCTCGTACTGCCTTCTTGCTGTGTCGCTTTCTGCGTGCAGCTGCTTGCTATAATATTCACAAAGGAATTGAATCCAATAAAGCTAATTTTTCTGAACCCAAAATTTTTCCTGTCCTCGTCCGCTTTTTTTTCATCATTTTTGCCCAAATTTCAATGTGGTCGTTGTATGACCCGCATGATCTGGTCAAGTTTTGTTTTTTTTTGTCTCTCAGTTTCGTAAGCATTTCTCAGCCCTCCTCGAAAGAAAATCTCCATCGCTCACCCTCATGCCTTGATTTCTTGTCGGTAACACCTGATCCAAAACAAATGAAGATGGGAACAAAGACACTAGAGAACGGAGTCTTTCTCTTTCTCAGCGAGTTGAATCATACATATATCCTTCATGCCCACTCGAGGAAATGATGGCATCCTCTCTCAGCGTAGGGTCGTTCTCGGTTCTCGAAATCGTTTTCTCTCTTTAGGTCAGTGCGTTCGTTCATCGTCCGTTGGTTCTCCCGAAAAATAACAAGGGGTTTGACTTTGATTGTTTCTACTTTCCAAAAGAAGATGGGTCGGCTAAAGGTAGTAATTATAATTAATTGTGATGCGCCTGTAGTTTGCAGCAGTTGTAAATTTTATTGTTTGATGCCTGACGTTAACAGTGTAGCTGCAAGTCGTATTTCTGTTGTTAGGAAAGCAAGTCGCTCTGACAGAAAAATGCAAGTCAACCAAAACGACTCGTCCTTTTAATGGCACTGGCAGTTGCTGAACACGCTTTCGCTCGGTATGAAATTGAAAATGAAAGTGAAGGAGGACGTCTAAAGAACAATTTCAAATCATCAATAGCGAGAGTTCTCAGGCAATGCTGCCTATGAACTCCATGGAGTCAGTCAAAGTTGAATTATTGACCTATTGTTGAACTAGTTCAATTATAGAAATGGGGTAGAGCCGAGTAGAAGAATTTATCTAGTGTATAAAGTAGCGGGTTACCAAAACCTTGAGTTAATTAGCACGAATGAATGAATGTACCCACTAAGTGTGGGTAATTAGCAAGTTCCGTGGGTACATTAACATGTTGACTCCCCTGAAGCGAAAACTTAACGGAAACAGGCGATGGACATCGTGGGCGACGGTCATAGGATCGGATAGCGTAGCATCGACATACCAAAAGAAGAGAGAATGGAAATGGCTAAACAAGGTGTATCGGTGTATCGCTTCCAGTCCCAAACAGCTGTATTTACAATCTTGTAGCAGTTGTCTTAGAATCTTAGAGACTTCTCTTTTTATGTTAAACTGAAGAGTAGTTTCCTTGCAACATTATGAGTGGAAGATGAAGCGCCCATACACGCAAACTCCAAAAAACGAGACCGCAGTGAAAGAAGACGAAAGAGAATCGAGTCACCTTCTGAAAAGCGTGTGTGCGCACTCAGGTACAAGCGTCTGCATCTGGAAAACAGGTATTAGAACTAGAAGAGATGTCCATCCTCAGCAGCATCCTGGCCTTCCTTTCCCCTTTACAAACGAGATCCAGATGCCTGCGAAGATGGATCTCTTGTAGCCTTAAAGGTGGGAGATAACGAAGGCGAGATGAGGCTTCTTGGCATTCCGCGGGAAAAATCATGCGAAACAGACGCAAGCGTTGCGCGTGTCCTTGCTTCTGTTTCCCGACAAACATGAAAGCAAGATGATTGATTGATTGAGGGATGGACCACAAGACCATAATTAATGTAATCTGGTTACAATCTGGTGGTTATGATACAAAACGAAAGAGAAAAACTACGGAAAGAGAGATTCCTACTTGATCACAAGAGGTGGAGGCGATTTGGAAAATAGATGAAAGAGTATCTACTATCAAAATCTTGGGCACAATTCTAATGCTGCCCTTCGGTACATCGACTACTGGTCACTTGCACTACTACAACTAGCTTGTTGTATAATGTATTACTACTACGTAAGTACAACTAGCTTGCACCTACTACTAAATTCCTTGTCTCATAAAGCCGGGCTTGAGCTCGCACTCCGTTTGAAGACCCGACTGGTACGTGAGAGTTTGACGGAATCGTGCTCCCAGGCGTCCTTGCTGTCAAGATACACTTTTTCGGAATAGTCCTCTTCAACAGTAGCAGGAGCTGGCATCTGCGTCGCCGGGACCTTGTGGCACGTGAAGTCCGCCAGTGCGTTATGGATTAGAGAAAGAGCACGAAGAGGCGGTTAGGTTAGCTTAGGTTAGGTTAGGTTACGTGGCTCAAGATCAAGATCATCAAGATCCTGTGGATGCTGGTGCACAATGATATGTCACGTCATGTCATGCCATGGCGCCTCTTGTATGGCGTTACGCATCTATGTATGAGGCCATTCAGTGAAGAGGTACCTCCTAGAAGGTGAAGGTGTGAAGGGGTCATTATCTACGTGATATGTTTCTCTAAAACAGCTTTGCTTTCATCTCGTCTAGAATCATTGATTGTCGCAATCACCACTCTTAACAAAAACGCTGGAGCAAACTGTGCTTTGCGGCTCACATAGCCCTTCGGCAGCGTCATCATAGTTTCGTCAACTCCGATCGTCTTGCCTGGCGCATCCTCCAGATGAGGAACGCAACGGGAGAGCGGCGCTGATTTTTGTGATGCGATTTTGTGATAGACTTAATAACCTTGTTCAACCCCAAAGAAGGTAGCAACAAGGCGAGGGAAAAGTTCGACTGATAATTTTCTCTATGTTGTACAACTTTTTAAGCAACTATAGAAAGACAAGCTGGCAAATTGAAGACCGTGAACACAGGTTTTCATCTTTATCTTTTCAGAACATCAAAGTGAAAATTAAGTATACCATTCGGGAACGCTTTTTTTGCCAGAACGAGTTCGCGACCACCAGCGATTATAAGATAGCTGACCTCGTTCAGGATATCCACTACAAACAAGTATGCAAAGTCGAGCTCTTTCCTGTGGTCTCGTATTTTCTTGACTTGCTTCTCCATTCTTGTTGATGCAGCCGCAGCACTGGCCACGGGAGAACTGCCTCCGCACTGGCCACGGGGTAACCGCACCGTCTCGGTGCACTCACCCTTTTCCTTTTTCAGCATTCGCAATTCCAGCATGATTTCTTCGGCAATCGCGAGCACCAACTCTGGCGCCGTCACCTCCAACACGGAGATACCGCACTTCCAGTCGCCACATTTGAAATCTTTTTGATCACCGCGAACCATTTCGTAGGCACCTGAATTTCAGTTGTTGAGCGTGTCATACATAACTTTAATATTTTGTAAGAAGATGTTGAGTGGAAATTGAATCAAATTCTTTGAGTACCAAGATTCTTTCTGGAACTGCATACGCGCAAGCTCGTCTAACTTTATTTTGTAAGAAGATGTTGAGTGGAAATTGAATCAAATTCTTTGAGTACTATCCATTATCATTCTGCCCAACAAGTACCAAGATTGACGATGAAATCCGTTTTTTTCTGGAACTGCATACGCGCAAGCTCGTCTGGGTTCGCGACGCCGCCATACGCGCTCAGCAATGTTACAACTTGCCTGTCCGCATCCGTCGTTGTCACTGATTGCAAGTTCAGTGTGTCCGAAAGTACTGCCATCAGCAGCATTTTCGCTATCTTGGGTGGCAGATGGCGTTTATGCGACAGGAAGAGAACGGTGATGCCATTAGAGAAGAAGGGTGGGGGTGCTGAAATGCGACAGGAAGAGAACGGTGATGCCATTAGAGGGTGGGGGTGCTGGAGTTGTCGTTGGGGGTGCCGAAGTTGTCGTATACTGGATCTTCTAGGCAACTCTGAAGGTAAGGATCTATTACAATTACAATTACAAATTTTTCGATGGGGGGTTATGGCGGGCGGTATACTAAAAGTATGACCCACGTGTTAACCAGGAAGCTGCCCGGCGATGGTGGGAGTTCATTAACCTCCAATACTAAACGCTACTTACAAAACTTGCGCCATCGATTTCAAAATGGTCGACACTAAGAGCTTGCAGAAAGCTGTCTGCCTCTGATTATGGCGGGCGGTATACTAAAAAACTAGTATGACCCAGGTACTTTCCAGGATGCTGCCCGGCGATGGTGGGAGTGCATTAACCTCCTATACTAAATGCTACTTACATATCGACGCACCAGCAGCGGTGGGCGCAGAGAAAGCAAACATTTCACAGACACAAAAAGAAAGCTATAGAGAGACTGAAAAAGGTAATTGCACTGGTGGCACGAGTAGACATTTACAAAGTCATCAAGCTAGTTCGCCTAGTAGATGAGAACAGATGATCAATACTCTTCGGGTGCTGTGTGGTCTAGCTTTGCAAACAGACACAATAGATTAGGTTCCTCCAACATCCATAATGATGGTGCTCATGCTACCCCATGGCCTCAAATCCATGTAGAGGGGTTTTGAGGTTGAGAAAGACTCCGCCAGTGCGTGGTGATCTATGATTCCTGCTATCCTTGCGGCTCTGTTCTTGGCATCCCGGAGCAACGGTGTCATCTGCTTGTCTTCCGAATGGTCAACCAGGCATCTGAAGAAGAGAGACATAGTTAGTAGAGTTTGTGTAAGCTCTATCTTCATCTGTAATACCTACAAGAGTTTGTAAAGGACTACGACTAGAACAAGTAGAAGCACTTTCAGTCTAAAAGATTAGTTCATCTCAGTAGGAAGCTATTCGTAAAAGTAGAAGATATATGTTGCAAGAAGAGATAACCTAAAGGTAGAAAGAGGAAAACTAGCCGGCTATATATGATAAAATGGCCGCAGGAGCCGTGATTTTGAACGTAAAGGTCCACGCTGTAAAGATAGTAAGTACGCAGGTCTTCGATAAACTGAAATAAGCAAGTAAGTGATCAGACTAACCGAGATGCTGATGAGAAGAAACAGAAAGAGTAGCCTTGATGCTAAGCTACCTTTCCCGCCATTTTTTTGTCAGTAACTCGGTTATTCGAGTAGTACATTCTAGCGTCTTAGTTAGTTTTCAAGTAGTACATTCTAGCGTCTTAGTTAGTTTTCGAGTAGTACATCGACATTCTAGCGTCTTAGTTAGTTTTCGAGTATCAAATTCTAGCGTTTTAGTTAGTTTTCGAGTAGTACATTCTAGCGTCTTAGTTAGTTTTCGAGTAGTACATTCTAGCGTCTTAGTTAGTTTTCGAGTAGTACATTCTAGCGTCTGTCTTTGCTCCGGGTGCGTCATCGAAGAGGATCGGCGTTTCAATTCCGCACTCCTTTAGTGCGAACAAAATTTCGCCATTCAGTTTCTTCTCCGAAATCGCAGCTACCCCGTCAAATAAGGCGGCTGCGCCGATTGCCCCTGCGACCGAGTCCAAATCGGTGTTCACGTGTCCCACAATTAGAGGTTGCCGAATTGCATTCTTCGGGACATCCTTGAGTTGACCTATTTTCCCCTTGAAGAGGAGCCAAGGATGGTAGTGAGGGAGGTAATTCGGAAACCCTTAACACAAATATGCATCCCCTGAGATGATCTCGTATGTGCGAGTAGAACACCTCAGAGCATATATCTCTGTGATCGTCCTCGTCCTGCGCGAGATTTAGAGCAGCTCACCCCAATCCATCGCAATAGACTCATCATGAGGCTGCTTGATGTTCCCCCTTGTTCATATGCGACAGTTCCTCCAAGATGTACGATCATAGTAATTAAAAGTTGTTCCCGTAGTAATAGTTTCAGCATCAATCTCAAGATGGATTAGGGTAATAAGCCTTAAGAGTTTGTTCAAAGCAGCAAGTGACTCGTTGTGAAAGTCTGTGGAGCGCATGCGTTCTAACGCCTCATTGGTTGCAGACTGAAGTTCCTGCGGGTGTTTCCGTTTTATCTCAGGAGAATCGCGCGCATTTCGCTTGAAGTTTTGTGTTGCGCTATCACCCACGTGAAGGGGCTCTGGTGCTGCGGATGACGGCAAAAACAGCCCTCCCTTGGCATCACGCGACACAGCGACCGGCGAGGCCAGGTCCGGCGCAGGGGGAAGAGGTACGCCAGACATTTTCTTGGTTTAAATGCTAGAATGAAGTTCTAGGTAGAAGATCAAAATTGCATGTATTTACTGCGAAGTTTGATGATATTGTTGCCTAGATACTACTTACAACAACTAAAAACAACTAGTTTTCTCCAACTTCCTTGCTTTCTCCAAGTACAACACTTCAAAGCCCAAGAACACTACAACAGGCAACAAAAAACTCCCATTTGAATTCAAAATCTGACAAGATTGCGTCAAAAAATGAAGAGAATGAGAAGGGACCTCATGAAATCCATGCCGCAATCGTCACTCTAGGATAGGATAGGAGTTGGCTCACCTATGAGGGGGTGGGCGTTCGAGGACGTCACGATACTTGAAGAACCTCTCCTAAGTTATGACTCTCTCCATGCTTAGAGGCCCAATCAATAGGTTCGTTGCAGTTCATTGCATAGTTAGGCACCTAATCACTTCTCCACTCATCTACTCGTACTATACGTATTCTTCTTCTAGCACTATATACAAGAACAACGCAATGCCATTTAAAGTTCTACTTCGCTCATCACTCTGACACTCCTGCTTGTGTGGAAGTGAACACTTCATGCTCAACAAGGAACTTCTTAATCTCGATGCTTTTGACGTCGCTGCTGCGACTGGGTGCGTCAAAACTTGAAAAAAAAGTTTATTCTGCAATAATAGGATAAAAGTAGCTCACGTGGAAAGTAATATTTGGTCATGCAACGAATTGAAATCGGTTCGTTTCAAAAGAAAAAAGTTCTGAAGTTCATTTGTGAAGATAGAACAAGATAGGTTGTCCACACGGTAACAGTTCATGCATCAGATTGCGCACAGTCCTCTTGTTCTTCTAGTCTCTACTCGTGGCACCACCTTTTTCATCTAGTACAGTGAAAATCTCTGTTAAATAATGTAGTTTCTTTATATTTGTATTTGATTCATCCTATTGACATAATTATGAGGTGCGTTCGAGAGCGACACTGTGTACGACGACAGCACATCAACAGAGATTAATATTGTTAACCTTAGAGAGTCAAAAGCCTTATCTTACAAGAGATGAAAAAGATCCCTATTACAGGACAGAGAGACGGGTTACATTGCATCTTGAATTTTTCTCAAATAAACATGTAGTTTTTGTTTTTCTCTTTCCATACTTGTTCTGCATCGTCTCTAATTCTGCATCGTCTCTAATTACAACTAGCACTGAATAGCAGATGAATTGTTCTGAAAGACGGTTTTCTATAAGGTGATAGGGTTCTGCTTTCAACGTGTGCGGCCACAGTCGACATATTACCTGCGCTTCTAGCATAGAGATCAAAGTCCTCGCCTCATCTACAAGACTTGTTGTAGCGTCAGAAGTATGAGCATCCTTTTGAGCCCAACATACTCGTCGTTACAGGCTCCAAAATCCACGAAGTAAAAAGAACTAAAACCTCTGTGGCGGCTGCTTCGCTGGTGGCCATCGAGGCAGCTTCGAGCTCTGTTGGGAGTAGAAATCGTTATGGAACAATAGGACTGTGAAATATAATTGCTAATGTTAATGTTAACGTAGAAATCGTTATGGAACAATAGGACTGTGAAATATAATAAGTACTTAAGGTTAAGAGTCATTGTCATTGATTCAGATTCACCCTGTCATTGTGAAGTCAAGAAAGTGAACTGAGGAGTACCCGATGTGCCGTAGACGTCGCAAAAACTTCGGCCACCGGTTCGGCAGTCCTTCTGGCATTTCGTTGTTCTTGCTGAGGCCTAGACGCCCACCACTGTGCGCGCTGAATTTCGGACTCTGTCGGAGAAAAGCTTAGAGTTCACCCTAATCCATCTCGAAGATCATCCTGGGGCCATTTCCGGCTTGAAAATGTCTCCAAGATGCTTCTGCAAATGAATTAGGGCAAGCCATACAAAACGGTAGCAAGCGTTGCTCGCACTATCCTCAGGGTAAACAGAGTCTTGGTCTGGCGGATTCAGCTCCGATTGCAGATTTACAGTGTCTTCAGATTAGAAGGTTTCTGTAGCTTTATTCGGTCCCTTGCTATAAGCTAAAGCAAAAAACGGCTTATTTATTTCCTGCCATTTTTAAAATTGCCAATGTGACTGTATGGAGGCGATAGTCATGGTAATTGTAATTCTACAGATGCAATCATATTTGGTATTTAATATTTATAAATATGGTGTTTTCCTCTTTCTCATAATCGAACACGTTTTCGTCTGGCGATACACAAGAGGGCCTCGTTTCGTTGCTATTGCGACCACCATTTGATTGGCTACCGAACCGAGAATTACTCCTTCCGGGCGCTGGCCTTGAGAAGCTGCCACCAGAGTCGCGATTAGCATTTCCGCCGAATCTTCCATTATTGCTAGTACTGCCATAGAAACTACCAGACGGGTTGATGTTGTTCCCTGGTCTAGTACTCATGTTGTTTCCGCTGAAGTTGTTAGAGCTACCGCTTCGCATCACTGAGACTATCTTCCTTGGCTTCATCTTTTCCAAGTAGTCCTACTAAACTGGACTAAACTACCAGTTTACGAGAAACAAATTCAACAGGAAAAAGGGCAAACAAGGATGATACTGACTGTAGATGCTCATGCTCTACCAGTTTAGCAGAAACAAATTCAACAGGAAAAAGGGCAACCAATGCTCTCTTTCTTGGTGTAGCTCTCTTGATTATAGCCTTAATGTTGTTGTGAAGATTGTTTCCGCTAAAGCTGTTCCCTGTACCACCTGCCACAGCTCCACCGAAACTTTTCTGTATGATATTCATCTTCTCCTGCGGTCCACGACGTCCACGTGCATTGAACGATGCGAGGTTCTTTTCAAGATTAGAAGAAATAGCATCAATAGGATCAATCGAGTTCGTAGAGGAGCGATAGTCTAGAAGAGCATCTTCATCATGTTGCCCGTTTGTTCCCCACTTGAGAAAATCTCGCAGAGCATCTTCCTCATGTGGCGGCCCGTTTGTTCGTTCCCCACTTGCGAAAATCTCGCAGAGCATCTTCCTCATGTGGCGGCCCGTTTGTTCGTTCGCAACTTGAGAAAATAGAGGACCACACTGTAAGAGGTTTCTCGGAAGAAGAAAATAGCTCTCCTGTTAAATTGTAGAGCCTTAACAGAAACAATGGAGGGCACAACAGGTGCCACCGACGCACGTGTACTTGGGCGATCGGGTAGCTGAAACGTGGTGGAGCCACGACGGCTAGGGACTTCGGTAGGCGCTTTCGATCCTGGTCGGGAACCGCTAGAGACTATCGCTTTCAGAACCCGTTCATCACCAGAAGGAAGTTGTACTTGCTCTTCTTGCTCTTGCTGCTCCTCTTCTGGTCGTGTTGAAGAAGCTTTAATATTATCCGACTCTGTAGTACTAGCGTCTGGTTTCTTCTCTGACTGCTCTGTACTAGCGTCTGGCGCACTGCTGTGGTCTTTTACTGTTACCCGATCCTTCATGTTGTCATCATCTCCAGAACAGCCAGAAGTCTCTTCTAATCGGTCGACCAAGGTCTCACGGCCGGCACAAGGCTTATCGCTGGACTCGTCATCTTGCGCGCTACTACTCGTCGAAGAGGAATCGCTATCACTTTCTACTGCAGGAGCTTCGGCTTCCACCTGCTCGCTATCGACATTAGCTGCGTCTCTATCGGTGTTGTCGTGCCTTCTGCCGACTGCAGAATTTTCCCTCGACGCCTCGCTTTTACACGCAGGCGCCAAAGTTAGCTCCTCGCCAATGTCGTCGTTAGGATCGATTACACGGCTAAGTGACTCACGTTTGCTTTCTTTACTGGCGGTGCCACTAGAACCTAACAAGATTCGTTAGAAGAAAATAAAAAATGAGGCTGAAGATGCTGGTTGTAAGCATCCGAAGGAAAATTTAATAGACTGAGTGGTAGAGGTCGAACAACAAGATCTTCGATGAAAAGCTATCACGCATAACGAAACAAAATAAATTTTCTGCATGCATCAAACTCAATCTCAAACAAACCGTTTCGAAGAAAACACGAAGGAAATCTGAAAACAAAGTAAGAGCTTCATATTCATTACAGATACACTTATTCCTCATATAAAGAAGTGTTCTACACCAGTTAAGAAAGTACTAACAAAGAAAGTGAATGTAGTACCTTCTAATAATGGCGGCGATGACTGCTTACTCGAGTTAGAAGAGGAGGAAACGCTGCCGGTGGTGAAACTACTGCTCGAAAATGAGGAAGAAGAGCATTTCGAGCCTGAACCTTTTGAAATTAGAGCGCCGCGTTGCATCTTTCTCATTGAAAGTAATTACTTATACACAGGGGGGGAGGGGGGGGCGTGCGGCCCTGAGTCATATATAGTATCCTTGAATATATTTATGAGACTTCTTTTTCTCTTCCTCTTTCTTGAGAGTCACACCCTTGGACTCTTCTTTTTCTCTTCCTCTTTGAGAGTCATATGATCCTGGGAGAAGCCTTCTTTTTCCGCCTTGAAAAAGAGGCCAAGGATGAGCCATATCCCTGGACCCTTTTGTTTCCCATTGAAAAAAAGGCCCTGATGGCGCTGAGGATGCTTCATCCATTCTTGTACTTAGTAACTAGCCTTAATGAAACTAAAGAGGAGTCATCTTGGACTTGCTTTGTTGCACTTGAAGATGTTCCCTTGTTTTGAGTTGTGGCAATGGCATGTTGGTTAGACGTCATTGAGGTGCTGGAAGACGATGATTCGGTGAATGGCTTAGTGTTTTTTGTTACCAGTGATGGTTGTTGACCGTTTTTGTTCGAGGAAAATTGGCTTTGTTCACTCGGAGCTTTGCCGGATAAACAAACCTTTTCTTGGGCAGATAGAGCTTGACTTTGTTGTATAGGAGGTGGAGAAGAAATAGTATTATTTTTGTTAAGTAGGTTGGCAGATGATGTAGTAGTGGTCATATTGTTGTTGTCGGTAGAAGTTCTTGTAATAAAAGCTGATGTTGTACTAGTTGACGTCTTACTGGCACCAAACTTGTTTCTATTAAGAGCGTTTTGAGCTGCTAGCTTCGAGGACACTGCTGAGTTGCTGGACGATTTTGCGGTATTTGGCACTATCATTAGACCCTACCCGCACTCATCTAGAAAGTGGCATCTTTATTGACCATGATTTGCCCCTTGAAAACTTCCACGTGTCAAAGATACACCACTATCTCGAGCGATGACGGATTGAGCTTGAGGGAAGCCTTAATAACCTGTTCTGTCGCTTCGCCAGGATGCTCCCCTTGATGTTGTTTGTAATCATGTTCGGCACCACAGCAGCGGAAAGCACCGCGGAAGAGACACCAGAAGCGGAAGACGAGCTGGCACATGAGGAAGGGCCACCCCTACTGGATTGCGCGCCAACCCGTGACGCAGATGCTGATGCAGTGCCTTTACTGCCAGTCTGGTTTCTATTATTGCCCACCAAACTAGATGCTGCCCGTCCAGCCCAGCTTGAGTTGCAGCTGGTGGTAGAATTTGCGCCATTCATCTTCGACAAATCACCTCCACCAGCTACTTGCGAAGTCGACGCCGATGCACTGGTACTGGTCGGATCCGCGCCTCCAAGAGAATGTGAAGCGGTTGACACATTGTAACTGCGAGCAGACATGACTTGACTGTTATCCCGAGACCGCTGCTGTGATCCAACTTTTCGCATGTTTAGAATCTGGTTCAATGAAATCGAGAGGGGAAATGCAAATGATGCATTGACAGAGTCAACCTATAAGTAAAGGTTTATTCGAAGCAACACAGAGAGAAAGAGTTTGATTTTGATTGTACTAGTGACAGCGTAAGCTACAACTACCTGGCTTCCTTTGTTTAGTACGAAAGAACTGATTAATTAGATTTACAACGATCTTTGTGTACTACCGGTTTTTTTCCGTCTGTCGCTCGCTCAGCTGACTTTTTCCGCGCGCTGCTGCCATCGCTTGGTGCAGTGCGCGCATCCGCACTCTTCGCCTTACTAGAGACAGAGCCCTTGATCGCCGCAACCGCATTAGCAGCCAGGAACTTGGCTCGCTCCCTTGCCAGTAGGGTCTTTTGTCGGTCCACAGTCGCCTGCAAGATCGCGTTTTCGCGCTCTAAAACCGAAATCTTATCCATCGCAGATGTGTATGCGATCGAAAGCTTGCCCATCCTGTGTTGTTCAAGTGAGTCCAGTGCTTTGATGTTGATGTTCCATGTTGTCAAATAACTACTTAAAAATGAGAACCCTGTATTTTTAGATTTAGAACGATGAGAGTGAGTGTTGAAGGAGAACGTAAATTCAAACTGAAACTGAAAGGATTACAAATGGAAGAATAGTACCGGTCCACCATTTTGCGATGCTTGCCTTGTAGAGTCTTATGCTCTCTCTGCAAAACTGTTACCGCGCCCACACGTGCGCCGTCGGGCAGGTCCGTCGCTGGCGAGCAGACGTTATCTAGTTGTTCCCCTCCAGTATTCATATCGAAGTTGCTTGCATTCTGCATATCTGCGCCTGCCAGTGACAAGTCCCCATATCTTAGTACTAGAGCTCACCCAAATCCATCTCGGGATTTTTATCACCATCTTGGGACTTCTGTTTGCCTCTTAATATGAAACAGCTGTTCCGAGATGCTTCAGAAGATGGGCTAGGTTATAAGCCTTAAATCTTGCGGCATCGATTCACCAGGAGCTTGCGTGAATTCCGGTGGCCCACCGGGAATTGACAAGCCTGCGTGAGTAGCCACAAAGGCTTTGAGAGAACGGTCTCTCTGAAAAGTGAACTCTGGCATTTTCAAAGCGGGAGCGGCTGGACCGCAACTGCGTGCGCGCGGCTGCTGCTGGAGCTTGCTCTGAGGAGCAGCTCCTGCAGTCGTCGAAGGTGGATGAAACTGCAGTTTCGTTCCTGGAGGTTTCGTGTTGAGGTTCGGTAATTGGCACGCAGGTGGCTGCCAAGGAGTGCCAAAGCCTGTGAAGATTCCTGTGCCTCCGGGTAGTTGATTGGCCTGCTCAGCAGATGCGCCACCTTCTTGTTGTACTTGAAGAGGTGGTTGCCATTGCACAGCACCTGCACTTACATTCGTGTCGCTCTTGCTGTCTCCCGTGACTCCCATCAACCTGGCTCCCACATCAATAGCTTTAGCAATGTTGATGCCTGCAAAGGTCCAGTGGGATGTGGGAGGCACTGGTGCGCTCATGTGTCCTGTAATTGCTTGCGTTTGCTGCTGCTTCATGTAGGTCAGCAGATCTGGCTGTTCATTCAGCATGTTCAATCCAGGGAAGAACTCTTTGTTGAACTGAGGCGCTGTCGGTGCCGTTGGTAGCTGTCCTGGTGCTGCTGCCGTTGGAAGTGGAATGTCAGCGCCCATTGCAAGTTGTGCGGCAACTTCACCCGTAGTTCCTGTGCCAGGCAAAAACGCCGGTGGCATAGGACCGCCGAGCTGTAAACCACCACCAGGTCGTGGTCTGCCCGGCGGCGGGCCTCGCTGCGGCATCAGCGTCGTGACTTGGTCTTCCTCATCACCGCAGTCTTGCGTTTCGTCCTCGCCAAAACCATCTCCTAGAACTCCTAGTCCTGCAGCACGACCATTGTCCTGAAGATAGTCGTGATGCACCTCAGCTGTGCTACGATTAGCGGAGGTTTTTGAGGATGAGTTTTTGCTCGACGACTGCTGTGTCGTTGTCTTCGATGACGTGTTGGCATTTGTCGTGGCCTTGCTTGCGGACCCTGGCTCAACGTCCTTCACCGCGCTCTCCTCTGCGAGAATCCCGCTGAAACGGCCATGCGTTTTGATGTTGCTAGCGAGCAAAAACGGCTGCAAAGCGGCTGGCGGCTGCAAGGACGCTCCGCAAGAGCGAGATCGCGTTTGGGCTCCGTTACTGACTTCACCACCGGCCATAGCATCCATCATATCGTCCTTGTTGACCAAATTCTGTCCTGCCTGCAGGAATAGAAGATTAGCCCCCATGGCTCCAACCGACATCAGTCCACCTGACACAGCTCCTACTTGGTTCATCTGAGTTCCAGGCATCTGCCGACCCCTTGCTTGCTGTGGAAACGACGGCCCTGGCAATTTCGGAACCTGGCTAGCTGCTGCCCAATTCGGAACCGCTCCAGACGCCGGTTGCGGAAAGCGTGGCCGTAGCTGCCACGGCGCACTGCTATTTGGCAGGTCGCCTCCAGGTCCAGCCTGAAAAAACTGCGCGGCTCCTCCACCAACGCCAAGGCGCATCGACTGCTGGTGTCCCATGGTTTGATTGTCTTCGGCTGTACTAGATGAGAGATCGCGCTCTTCGCATTGTGGAGTGGCCGTCACGTCGTCGGGTGCGTCCATGAAGGTGTGGGAGTGTTCCTCTCTTAGAACTTGCAGAAATCCATCCTGGGGAGCATCTCGGTACCCGTTTCCCTTTGGAAACGGGACAAAGCTGACTGGGAAGATGTATTTCCTCAAGCCTTAACTCTCGTTTCCGGTTGTAACTCACCTGGTCTATAGTCCCTCCCATCTCCGTCGTCGATGAACTACCGGCTCCTGATGCCTCCTGCTTCCCGCTCATTATAGAAAGTCCTCCGAGACCCATTGTTGATGCAGCATTAGGGTTCCGCATCATGCCACCAGGAGCTGCAAATGGCATAGGAAAACTCTGAAGGGACGATCCACCAACAGCCGATTGCGTGGGACCTAGCTGTGACCGAGCGCCGGAATCTGCTCTAGGTCTCGTATAATTGCCACCATTCAAAGCTCCATTTCCACCGTTCTGTGACGGGAAAAGGTTATCGAACAAGCCTGCTCCGCTTCCCGGTGGACCGACAAATGCCTGTTTAGGAGGTGGCAGTCCTGAAAAGTTCATTCCACCTAGAGTTAGAGCTCTTTTCTTTTTTTTGCAGTGCCATGCTTATCCGAAAGGGAAGAGCCTGCATGTTTGTCCGCGAAGCTGCTGCCGGCGACGGACGGAACTAACCCCCTATAGTATACGCTAAAATTTTTGATCCGCTGAAGCTCAAATCAGTTCAGATCTTCTTTCAATATGCTTGGAAGATCATAGAGGAAACTTTCATTCAATATGCTTAGAGGAAAACAGTAAAGAATCTTGACGCGTAGAAATGAACAAGGAAATCTTGAGTCTTAATAGAGGCTGCTGGCCAAGAGCTGCAGCTGAGCCTGTTAATCCGGGTTGCATCCACTGTGCCGCAGACTGGACAAATTGAGCGCCGTTACCAGACTGAACGAATTGACCACCAGAGGTAGGGTTTTTCCGTACTAGACTCTCCCAGCGCATGGCAGACTGACTGCGGACGCCTGCTGCCGCATTAACGTCTCGCGGCTCTGGTCCACTGCTCGCTGGACCTGCACTTGCTCCACCAGGGACACCAGGAAAACCAGCACCACCAGTAACTGGGGGGAAGCCGTTAGTACCTGGCATCAGTCCGTTACCATTACTACCCACAGCAGGCAGTGTACTAGGGCCTAACTGTCCTTGCGGTCCTTGAGCGCCGTTGGAGGGAGCAAAAAGACCGGTGCCTAGCGGAGGCAAAGGCCGCAACTTCAGCAGACCGGACTCAGGTGGTTGTCCAGCAAGCTCCGAGAGCTCTTCTTCAGAGCTGTGGTGCGACAGCGTTACATCGTCGCCGTCTCCCTCGCCACCAGCTGCTTCCTCAATTGAAGCTGGTTGTTGAGGTAATCTACTTGTTCCACTTCGTGTTGGTGGTGCTCCTGGAGTAAATGACCTACTAGTAGAGGACGATGTTGCAGGTGCACCTACCGGTCCGACTGAACCTGTTAAACTCGTTGTGTTGTTATTTCGAGCACCATGGTGCTGTGACAGACCTGCCGCTCCACCTCCTCCGGCGGTCAAACTTGTGGTGTTGCTCCCACGTGGAAAGATGCTCTCGTATTTAAAGCGCTCCACCTTATCCATCTTGGGACGCATGATCTTGCTGCTCTCCCATATTCCTTAAGATGCACTATCTGAAGCTGTTCCAAGATGCACTTCTATCTTAAGATGCACTATCTATATTTTTGCTAGCTCTTCCAAGAAGATGCACTATCTGAACAAGATGGACCATTAGGGGAAGCCTTAACGTATCCTTCTTCACCACTCGGAGTGCCGGAGAAATCCTCCTCGGCGCTCCCTCCTCGGCTGTCGTCCCCTTCCGCACGTCTTTCTCGCAAAATCTTGTCCACTGGATGACTTTTTTCGTACAAGTCGTCGCTCGAAGAGGAGCCCCCTAGCGAGGGGTGGAACTCGTCGGGCGAAGACTCGACTCTTGGACGCCGAAGAGGAGGCGGCTGGTGAGGTGGAGGTCGCGATCCTGTACGCATTTTATAAGTAGCTCTGTCGCTCTGTGGTAAATGGTCTGGTACAGCTGTAAATGGTCTACAGCTGTAAATGGTCTACAGCTGTAAATCCAGCTGTCCTGGTCAGCTTCAGCTCTTTTTGAGGTACCTTTCTAAAAAAAAATTTCTAGTTGGAGGACGAGTTGAAGGTTTCTTTCTTGCTCATTATTAGCCTGCCCACGAGACTAAAAAAAGAAGTTCTGCTCATTCCCGAAGGTGTACAACTTCTAATACCTTTGCTTCTAGAAGATGTTCCTTTGGTTTCGGAGTATAAAGGCAATAACTCCAATGAATTACAGCCAAATGTGAACGATCCCCGAATAGATAACGAAGGATTTAGCACGAAGTTGCTAATTTCTGTTTTGTTGTACGATCTAAAAAGACTTTGTTTTTCTTCTTTTTCCACTTTTTTCTCTCATTTCATCTTTTTTTCTTAAAGCAGGCGACGTTTTCGGGTACTTCTCAGTTCTTCTACTCTCTGTGCAGAACAATGATTTTCTCTTTTCACTCTTACGTCGGAGAGACTCTCCTGTCGAGAAGATAGGGAAAAGCGCTCTGCAAGACGGTCGATGGGGCTAGGGGATACCAATACACTCAGTTCGTCACAATTGCAGACCGACATTGAAAAAAAACAGAACAAGTACTTAGATAAAAACCGCGGTTCTAAGAACGTCTGGTGTTTTTCGGAGTTAATACAGGCCGTTGGCTCATGAGATTTTTGCGCAGAGAATCATAACGAGGAGAGCGAATTCTTCTAATGGGGGTGTTGTTGCATGAAATCACAGGAGGCTCTTCGCCTTTGATGAGACAGTGTTCAGTTATGGTGCTGCGACAGAGTGACAGTCGTGTATGCGCATGGAATTTGAATCAGAACCAGCGCAGCACTATGACCTATAATTCAACACTACGTCTGCTGTCTCAACGCTGGTAAAACGGAAGGCGCTTCTGAGGCTTGGAGCTGAAAGCGGTCGCCGTCCCTGCGCACCACGATTACACTATTGGTCGCCTGTGCACGCGCAATTACCTGGCTCATAGCCAATTCCGAATCTCGATTCAGGTCTATCTCATGTTGAGGTCTTCTATCTTGGTGTTCTGGCGCTGCAGGCGAAGCAGGCGAAGCATTCATTACGCTCATCTCCAGCTGCTCTGCTGTTGGCTCCTCGCTGGATGAGGATGCAGCTCCGAGTAGAGTGGGGCCGATGTTCACTATATCATTGGTCGCTTGATGATGTTGGCCTCTACCCTGCAGATGCACCTGGCCGCCGATTGCGCTTTGCTCGAACACTATCGGACTACTGTATCGCACAAATTGGGGCCCGACGCCAGGTGCCGCTAAACCTACCATGCCTGGCGGTGATGCACCCACGTTTTGATTGCCGTTGTAAATGATCCCTCCGTTTTGATGCTGGTTGTACGGAGAAAACTGACTGTAAGGCGGAAACTGGGTCAAAACCGCGGGTTGTGAGTCGTAGGTCTGCAATTTCACACGTGCGTCGGGTGTTGTAGCTGCAGTTCCGAAGATTCTCTGCCAGCGCGACGGACTTGGTGCGCTAGTTGCTCCGTCGGTTGGATTGCCACCTCCGCCTGAACTAGAACCGCGCTGTCGACAGCAGGGACCGCGACAGCGGCCGTAGCGGAAAACCGAGTACACCTCGAACAAGAGGACGACAAGCAGGAACACAAAGCAAGCCAGCACTAACGCTCGTGCCGTAGCCCTACTAGGCACGTTGTATTCGAGCGGCTGCGTCGGTATCTGGGCCTTTTCTAGGATCCAGCTGCGTGCGAAAAACGTGTCCGCGAACCACACTTCCACGTCCGGTGCGCACGAATTCAAAGCATTCATGTCCGTGTCGCGGCCTTGCGAAATCACGCCATACTGGATCCAAGGGTGAGAAGACCCTTGTTCCGTCAATAGTGAACCAGGCACCCGCTTTCTGCAGAGCAGCGGGCCTCCACTGTCTCCGGCACACGCGGTCGACGGCACCGTTCCTCCGCTTGTCCCTCCACTACGGCCCTTTCCGCACAGCACGCTAGCGATGTTGTCGTCGTAGCCATTGGCATTCAAGAAGACGCTCTCAAACGGTCCGTTGACGCTCCATTCCGAGCATTTCTCGTCCAACGAAATGGACGTTTCTTGCAGTGTCTTGGGCATCGACCCGGAAGAATCGGTCTGGCCCCAACCGGAAATCACGCATTCGTAGTCACCAAGGTTATTTGGGCCGCTTCCGCTTAGGTATCCTTGCCCTACGTTGTCCGCGAAAACCGTCAGAGACTCCAGTAAATCGCCAACACCTTCGTATTTGCGCCTTAAAACTTCGGAATCCAAAGGAGCGTCCGGAATGCAAACGTAGCCGATCTTGCTACTCGGAACCGGTGACGTGCTGGATGGACTAGTTGATGTTCTACGTCCTAGTACTTGCGCATCAAGACTTCTTCTAGTTGAAGATCCAGAACAAGGTTCCTTCGCTAGTTGTGGAATGAAGTTCTGGTTCAAATTATTCGAGGATCCTCCGTTTGAGGTGGAAAGTGTGAAGTCGTCACCTCCTCCAAAGAGGTCCAAAACGGTATCTAGAGCATCTTTGCTATCGTCTGGATAGTTATTTCCTGGTGCAACGAGACCGAGAACTGCGTAGTCGAAGAGCAAATTGCCCTGAAGGTTCTGGCCACCTGTCGTCGTAAGCCTTCTTGTTTTAACACTAGCAGCTTTTTCTTTCTTAGCACGCTGAAGCTTCGCTAGTAGCGATTGAGAAGCAAAAGTTGTTGTATCTTCACCATCTTCCTTACTAGTATTGGACTTTCGCTTCGCACCAGCAGTATCCTCCATCTCGAATGGCGAGTCCTCTTCCGCATTCGAAAGCCTCCGCCGACTGCTGTAGTACTGCGGATGAATGTGTACTGTCTGGACTGCGACCACATGTCGATGCAATTCTGCCTCAGACATAGACGCGATGTCCTTCACATGCGTTCCAGCGAGCACATGTAGCGTGTCTCCAGCATTCAGACCCTCGACGCAGTGGGCAGCGGTCAGAACGTGGGTGTCATCTAGGAGAGAGCCGCCACACCGATAGGACCAAGACAGCCGTGTTTGGACGCCTGGGGATGAATCACTTAATATAGATATTTTCACATTTCATTTTCTTCATTTTTCAACAAGAACAAGGGTTCAGCATCTATTATAAAAGGTTTCAATCATTACACACGAGCACGACGAGGAAGATGTAAGCATGACGCATCGACAAAATTCAAACGTGGGTCAGCTCCATACGATACGTCAAAGCTTTTACGATAATAGTACCTCCTGCGATATTTGTCTCGCTTTGATGGATCTGCAGGAGGGCCACGTGCCACGGCCATTCGCATCCTGTAGCGTCGTTTCCGTTAACTATTAGATTACGTCTTGAGCTTGAAACGAAGGAGAGCGACCCTTGCGACAGGCCGCATTGCGAAACGCCAGAGGCCGCTGCTAGCAAAGGCCCGCCGGCAAAAAATGATTGTGCGACTCTTCCTTGCCCGCTCCTTTGTTCCCTGGTAGAAGTGCAGCTGGCTGGAGTCGTAGTTGTAAAGGAGATCCGAAAATTCGAGAACAGCGCTGCTAGTAGATTCCATAGGCAAAAAACGAACAGAAAACGCCGGAGAAGGCAAGACTGAGCCGGTCGTGTCGTGATGGACGAGGAAAGCGTTGTTGTACTTGCGCTCGCAGCTTTCCTCCTCCTTCTCGTTTGCACTCCATCATGATTGTTCTTCGTGGGTATCGGATCAAACAAGATTGATGACCGCACACTTTTAGATCTAGCGAATAATCGATGTCGGTGCAGCTCTGTTGTATAATCGCTGCGGTTCAGTATAATGATATCTTCTAAGTACAATGAGCTTGAATAGGGAAAGGAACAAGAGCTGCGGCTCTCTTTCTGTGCAATAGACAGGCTGCGACTACACGGATCCAAATAAGACACCATCTTCGTTGGTGGTTGACGTATGCGAGCTACGAAAAACTATCTTTTAGGAAGTAAGGTTCCTCGTAATAAAATCAAAAAAAAAAAATCGTCGTCTATGAACAATACAAAATCAGACACAAAAGGGTTCAGTGCCAGAATCAAGGTCCGAAGTATATGAACAATACAAAATCAGACACAAAAGGGTTCAGTGCCAGAATCAAAGTCCTATACGACCTATCTATTTTTTTCACTGCTTACATCGGCACCATAACACGAAGAAGCATGCATATTTCTACATGAAAATGAGGAATAGCACTGCAGCATTATTCAAGAGTCGGAGGAGGGGGCACTGGGCTGACGAAACGGGTGGACCTGTGCAGATGATTCATTGAGAAACTTGGTGGATAGTATTTGTCAAGATACATTTTTCTCTCCCCTACGACATACACGATTACAATGCTTCTCTAGATCTAGTTCTCTCGTAGGAAAAAAACTGAACAAACGATGAAATTGTCTAAACTTCTTCGCCTCGTCGTTATTCCCCTCAGCGTCTCTCTCTCTCTTTATGCAATACAAGATGAAGGAAAAGGCCCCGCAGGCCTTTAGGATATCATGATACCGATCATCTGAAAGAAAAACATACCACACGTATAATGGGGTAACTACATGTGTCCAAACATCATGCCCGCATTCTGACCTTCTCACGCGTCAACAATTCTGGCAAGTCGTTGAATATATCCTTGCAAGGGGAAATGGGGTATCATTCGTATAGGGTAGAGCAAGCTTGAGTTTTTTCCTTGACATGGGAATACATCAATGGGACGACCGGAACGCATCATTGAAAAATATGATGAGTAAGTACTTTGGGTACAACCATCTAAACAATTACGGATGAACCACCTTGCTCCGAAGAGGTCAGATTGTCGACTTGTGCTTCTTGCTCAAACCTTGAGGAGGTGATTGAAGGAATCTAAAACAAGAATTTCCGATAGATGAGATGTTGGAAGAAAAATTTCCTTCCAAGAAAGAATGACATAAGAATTCTTGTAGGTACACGTCTACATGGTAAGTCCTACATCTGTGTAGTTCCTACATCTGTGTAGTTCCTACATCTTCGATCTTACCCATTCCAGAGTCAGAAGGTTCGCCTTAGCGACGAAGTTCTCTTTCTCAAACCCGTGCCCTTCTCCCGCGAACACCTCTTCGCGCACCTCTCGCCTTGCTGCCGTGCCTGAAGATCGCAGACGACGTAGCAGAGACACATACGCTTTGCCATTCGGCTCCATGGGCACTCGACGATCATTGTCTCCGCGAATTAGCGGCAAATAACTAAGTACTTATTATCATGATGCCTCTCTTAGTACTATCCAGCTTCTAAGTCGAGTACTTATAGTAGCGCTTTCACGTTTGTGCTAGTAATGATCGGATCAAGCTTTTTGATGCTTATTGTTAAGCTTATCCTGTTACTTCTCTTTTTCTGGAACACAACCTTCAGGTTATTCATGTGCTTATGCCAGTGTTCACAGCGCTCGGCTTACTGCTTCCTCATGCGGATGTAACCTTCTTACCAACGGCATCATTCAAAAGTACGTGGATGATCTATCCATGACTAAGATCATCCATGACTAAAATCAGTGTGTTCTTCAATAGATATCGGTGGAGCACACCTAACTAGGAAACAAAAACAAAAGAGTCAAGTAATCTTTTTATTTAAAAAAGAACTATACTATAGATATCATCGAGGGAAAATTTGAGCAAAACTTTTCCGTCCTTAACAGAAGCATCAGGACGTCACACGACACTTTTCCCGCGGAGTGAACCGGCGATTTACGTCGCAGACACGCACAATCCGACGTGGACAATTCTGTAAAATGCGGACGATGAGGACCCGACCGCCCACTGCGACCCAGACCCTCGGTGAAAATCTGCAAGAGATTGATAAGAAATGTTGAAATAAACGTGAAGTATCTACTGCAAGTGCAAGTATATAAATACGGGTACGTACTTATCTACTGCAAGTAATATATAACTCCGGGTACTACTAGGATAAAAGATCAGAGTGTCTTTCAATAAGCTAAATGTTCAAGGCCAAACTACCCAATCTGGGATGTCCGTCTGGCGGATCATGGCCTCCATATCAGTGACGGGATTTCGCATGATGCCTGCGACGATATTAGGAATCCGATTTCTGCCAATCAGGTGCGCTGTAAGAAAGCCGCCATGCGAGCCACCGGTAGTTAGACTAAGCATGTCTTCTAATACTTGTACCAAGAGTCCTCGTTGGCTGTCAATAATATTTTCTTCGGTGCGTGTAATTATTGGCAAGTATCAAATAAAGATGGGCATAATGCAGGGACTCAGATTCTAAGAACTGCGAATGCTAACTCTGAACGTCATTGCCGTCAACGTCATTGGTTTGTATTATTCGTGGCGAACGAGCAGACCTAACTAGAAAAAACAAAGACCAGGCAGAAGAAGATAGAAAAAAGAAAAGGCTAGCATTTATCAAGGAGTTAACTTTCCTAAGTTTTCATCCTATCACAGAAGGATATCATCATATCTTAGCATTATCACAGAAGGATATCCCAGTTTTCCTCATATCATATTTTTCATATCATCATTATCAATCATTTTCCTCCTCATATCAACATATTACTGCCTTAATGTGATGAAAACTGGGATATCCTTCTGTGGTCCGGACCCTGTCTTCGGTTTCATCCGTTCCAGAAGCTGCATGGTCATGCGTTCACAATCTTCGACGTCCCGCTCGCCAGCTGTACCTAAGCCATCTGTCACGAACTCCTCTGAAAACGAAGTGCTTCCCGAATAGTTCGGAAAAAAAACGGCGCAATGATATGAAGAAGTGGGCCGTGGGTGGTATTTTTCTCAACATAAAGATCTTCCACCATCGCGTGTGGGAAAAAATAGGGTGCCCCTCTCCCAATAAAAATAATGTTGGTGGAGCACGAAACAAAATTACATAGAAAAGAAGAAGTTCGTTCGTATAAAAAGAACTATAGTGGCCACGTTTATGTTAGGAGCCGTTTATTCTAGGCGCCTCGAGTTCGTCCAACTACCCTGGAGGTCTTCTCATCAAAGTCTACGGTATTCATCTGAGTTGAATACTTTTTCCTCTCAAGTTCGTAGTAAATCTACGGTATTCATCAACTGAGTTGAATACTTTTTATTCTCAAGTAGTACTAGAGATCGAAATGATAATCAGACATAACTTAAGAAACTGCGTGAGCAGCATCCACATTGGATTGAATGCTGGAACTGTGACGCCGTGTGGGCCACCGTGGATGACAAGAACAAGAGCTCGCGGAGGAGAGATAGCGCTCGCAACATCGAGGTTTTCGATTGCTGCATCTGCTCGTGCGCTTTCCGAAAAGCTCGGGAGGATATGACCTAGGCGGGGCTTAGAAGCACTGCCAGAATGAGTCCCGTCACCAGCTTCGCTTAATCCCAATCGCTTCTTCTTCCAGCGATCACATTTCAGACCAAAACGATCGTTTTCCGGCGGTTCGCTCGGTAGCACCAAAGCGCCTGAAGCCCAGCTGCGGGACTCCTTGTTGGAAATCGCAACTTCATCGAACCACCTGTGCTCCGCAGACGCGCCAGCGAAAACGCGCAGCATTCGCTCGCGTAGCGTCATATTGGGTCTAACCCCCGTCGAGCCCGATGAAAAATCGTGTTTGCGTCCGAGACTGATGGGGCGCAAGCCAGAACTAATATTGTCAAGAACAAGAGCCTGCAATTCCGGATGCGACGTCCATGACGACTGCTGTATGATGATGAAACCAACACCCGCGGCCAGCAGCTCTTGCGACATTTGTCTGCCCCGAGCCGAGGACTCACAAAAAGGATCAAGATGCAGCACTTCGGCAGCGGTACGGCCTTCGCCACTATCAGAGACATGCGAAAACACGAGGCTGCAACTGCCTTCGTGATGCGTCTCGCTCACTGCCGAGTCAGGTTCGACCAGCGACCACTTCTGCACCTGGGCATGATACCCGTAAACTGGATGCCGCAAGGCTACCTTCATCCGCCCATGTCCGTCCCCCGGATAATGATCACAATAGACGCGCTCAAACTCTGCAGAATGTGCAGTGAGCGGCAACCGCCTTCCGATGAAAGACAGAAATCTCCTGTAGCTACCGGTGCCAGATTTGCCATATATGAAGCGTGGACAAAGTGCCAGGTGCCACTTTCTTTCAGAGGCCACTGATACTCGTTCTTGCTCCATCTTGGTATTCGATGATCCTCCGTTTCCAACAGCGTCTGTCTTCTGCTTTTTCGTCTCCCGCGCATTCTTAGTTCCCTTCTCTTCATCGTTTCCCCGTTTCCCGTGGCCATTTGCAGGGACAGGGGATCCGCCAGCGCCGCGCCTTCTCTTCTCCTCCTCCTCCTCTATGCTCTCTGCGGGAGGTTCCGGAAGGTGAATTTTCGTAACGCTTTTCACGCCCTGAATGAGGAAATGCTCAGGTGCTTCCTTGTCCTTTCTCATTTCTTCTGCATTGAAGGAAGGTCGCCACGCCAGGAAGTAATCCGTCGTCTGCCGATTCAAGCACGCTCGAAGCCCACTAGGGAACTCCGGTATCACGTAGCATGAGGCAACTACGTCAGATAGAGCATAATTAGCGAGGATGTAGTTCGAGTTGCAGTTCGTTGAAGTAGATGCAACCACTCAAAAATCGAAAGTTAGCACAATTAGACTTCTCGTCCGTTACAAATGCCCTTTTTCTCAGTTATTAGAATGGAGTGACTTGCGAACCATTTTGGCATAAGACTGGCAAAGGTGGGATAACACGGGAAATGGTGCGGGTATTCGCAGGCGTAGGACGCGAGCAGCTGGCAACTGAATGTCTCTTCGGGAACTTTATAGCGAAGAACTGCGAGTACCGGGTTTTTCACCTCAGCAAGCTTCTCGCCAAAGTCAACATGTTTTCTTGCCTCCTCCAAAGCCAGTAGCCTCTCTCTCATTAGAGCTATCGCAGTCGTCGCGTCATTGGTTGCTTCCTCCACCGACTCTTCTTCGGAGAAACAAATATCGCCATCTAGGATCTTGCAGCGGAGCCGCTGCGTCTTGTGTGCCTCGCGCACGAGGTTAGCAATATTGTCCGCTGAATCGAGTTCCGCAACACAGCAGAGGATGAGATCATTCCGCAGTACCCCAAAAGGCAAATAAGGAGCGCACATGAACTCTGGCTTTCCAAACTCGGGACAGAAGTGAACCGCTTTCAGGCCGAAATCTGCTAGATCGATTCGAGGCCGAGCAAGTTGGTAGTTCGTGTCTGGCGAACGAACTTCAAGAAAGCGCGCCCCAGTCTTCGGATCCGAGTCTGTGAGTGAAATAAGCGTACGTATAGGCATGCCAAGCAAAAAATCAAATCTCATCTCAAGGTTCGTCCTTGAGAAGTTCGATAGTGGCCAGCTAGGGCTGAGAATCAGATAAGCAAAAAATACCGCCAAAAAAAGTCAACGATTCTCCAGTTTTGTTTTGAATGAGGCGCGCTTTTTGTGTGGGATCCACAGCTTCCGGTGGAGACCATCGTGCCCTCGGCTTTTTCTCGTCCAAGTGAATGTTAGAGCAAAAAAAAATGTTAAACCAAAATGGACATCATTTTATGGAATTTTGATAAGTCTACTTAATTTGTAGAAACTGCCGTAATGATGACTGCAGTGCTGCGATACTTTTTACGTTCGTAGCTCTCACAGAGAGCATCCAAGTCCTTGTCGATGTCCTTGCCCCCGTTCTTTAGAGCTTGTCCTATGGTCTTTACCAAGTCACCAAAGTCTCCTTGCAGACCGATGCATTGGGTTCTCTATTCCTAGGAACAGACTATATCTTTCTAAGCAATAGGTACTGAAAGGTCGTGCTCGGCGAGCGATAGTCTATTTAAGTGCAGTTGTATTTTGCATGGGGGGATAGACCTAGGTGATGAGGAAAAAGCTAACCGGCTACTTTTTCTTTAAGTGCTATAAGCGTCGCTGGACCTGTTTGAATGCACAATGTGTAAGCCTTAATGACTGCGTTTTTGAAAGCGGGGCTTTTCGCTTTGTTTCCTCCCATTGCGTAGTGACATACAAGTGGCCGCGCCTGTCATATGTGCACTCCTCTTCAGCAGAATTCCGGCCGAAATCTCGCCAGGCCTGCACCTCGTAATTCTGCTCCCAATTTTGTACGATTCCATCGTACACATCTAGCAATTCCGAGGCCCCACATGGAGGCTCTTGTGGACCTTGTGCGCCTCCCAGAGGACTTCCTTGAGGAGCAGCGGACCAGGACGATGCCATTTTTTTATCCGGGTTCTTGGGATTCAAAAATTGAAATCTTCTGGCTGAAGGTGCGGCTTTTACTAATGCGGCTTTTATTAATGAAGTGCGTATAAACGAACTAGAAATACTCGTAGTACTTGGGGAAAAAAAAAGCTGGAAGCAGAAACTACAAGATATCAATTTGTCAATGATATCTAGAACCTGCAAATCAGTGTCACTGATATGTTGTGAATATGCAATGGAGTGTGACACAGGGTCACCTTCATGGCCATTACTTCTCCTGGTAGGGCATTCATTGCCGAGAAGAACACTGGGTCCAACACCGATGGGGGGATGAGCATTCTCAGTGAAGGACACTGCGCAAGCAAGTTCATGTTGACTCAGGCAAGTAAGATTCTCGTCTCAATTGCTGCGGTCAATTGCCCCCTTGCGGTACTTCTAATTTGGAGAAAAAACTACCACCTTTTGCTGTTCAAAAACAATTACTTCTGAGTACCATCAGTAAAAGTCATGCACTTCATCTTCGTCCGTGGTCCCAACTTATCTATCACATACTGGGATATAATCACGAGAAACCATTGACATAGAGGCAAAGGGAGGATATGGTTATGGATACTAGGTACTTTTACCTACTAGGCAACTAACACTTCCCAATCATGATCCTATCTTATAAGTTGGAAAAAAGACACAACACTACGTCGGAAAATATCTCTATAAAAACAGCTCATCATATTTGCTCGTGATTCACCAAGTATGTTCATCACGATTGTCATCTATTTCTGCTCTTAATCAATATCTTCATCGACCATCATCTTCCTTAGTCTCCGCATGTTATAACTGAGTACTTATGTTAATGCATACCCTTCACGTCTATCTAATTACTTTCGTGCATATTCTACTCCGTTGATTTTCTAACTTCGCGAAGAAACCATGCTTTCTTGTTAGCCTCCTAGTTGTACTCACTTCGCGAAAAGGCTCTTGTTTTTAGCCTTGGTGCTCGCTCTCGCAGCCATCTGTTCCACAGCAGAGGATCTCCCTGATGACGAGGCTGCTCCTGTCGCTGCTCCTTTGTTATCTTGGAGGTAGGCTCTTGATGTTCGTCTTCAATTATCCCGTTCGCTATGCCTTTACTTCCCCCTTTAGAAAGGCAAAACGAACGGTAACAGGAACACCTTTAGCCCCCTGGTAACCTTAATTATCGTTTCCAGCCATTTTCGCCTGAAGTCGCTCTTCCAAAGCACCGCGGAGACCGCCACCCGCCCCCTCAGTAGCACGTTCCAAAAAGGCCTCACGCACCGTTTCCATTGCCCTTCTTTCATAGTCCACTTTTTGCTCGGGAGTCAAATCAAGCAAAGAATTAGAACTGAGTTGTGGCTGTCGGCCCAAATCAATGAATGAACGAATGAATGAATGTGCCTAACAGGAGGTATTTGCAATTACAGCCTTACTTAGCTTCTTCAGCTTTTTTATTGCTTCTTTTGCTAAACGATAGATTGAAATTCAATTTCTTACAGGTAACTGTCTAGCACCTCCCTTCTGCATGCATCAGGACCAAACAAAATATCAAATGAAGGACACTGCTCCTAGCTTCATCTTCTAAGCTCTACAAAGTATTCATCTAGAATATAACAAGCAACAAAAACAGACATCATGCAAGAAAGCCATAATATCAAGGCCGTCTTGGGCCAGAAGCCGTGAGAACTCCTTCTTCTCCTCAAACTTGCGCATCAACGCTTCCTCATGAGCCGAACTGGATTCGTCACGTAGTTTTCGTTCCAACAATTTCCGTTGTTCTTAGCGCTAGTTTTTCACTAGTAAGTATCCCTCGCTAATAAAATCAAGGGGGACTCTGCTGCTCAGGAGCGTAGTCCAGCATAGTCCTCCTCCGCGTAGTCCACATGGGATAGGGAATAGGTGGGAAAATGGCTAGCCTTAATGTTCCTTTTTGATGCGGTCGCGACCAGCAGCGAGTTGTTTTGCGTCGTGTCTGGGATCGTGCCACTTTTTCGTGTCTTTTTCCATGTCCGAAGAATCAGACGAGCCTTGATTCGCCACTTTAGCGGCATTCGCATTCACTTCGCGCAGCATCTCCATCTCCAATTTCTCAGAAGTCAAAAATTGTTTCGGTTTTTCCTTCGGCTTGTGTTTTTCGGCCCGCGTGATGTTGCGTACGAATTCTCGCAATTGTCCCCAGTTCCAGTCCTCTCCTTTCATAACGCTCTTGCGGTTTTTCGTCAGCTTTAGGTCGGCAACATCGAATCGCTTGTGCGTGCGAATCTTCGTTTCCTTCATCTTTCTAAAGTGTCGTGGGTGCTTCGTCAGCTCGGCCGCAGCGTGACGAGCGAATTCCTCAGTGAAGCCAATCATTCCGATCAGAACCTTGTGAAACAAGATCAAAAAGTATTAAGTAGACATTATAGACTTGATGTTGAAAAACCAGATTACAACCCTCAGGAGCTGTACTACACCCACAGCTCCCGTACGCGACCCATGATGTTCTTTTTTGAGTGTAACCAAGTCATGACCCAACAAGTAGACATGCATCCACTGATCTTTTGCGATACAAGTAGAATAACCACTACCAACCGCCGGCTCTTCTTGATGAAGTCTAGCTACTTGTGTACCGTGGCTAAGGAAAAAATGTCCACAACAACTATTGGTATTACTGCATGACAGTATATATGTTGTTGATCCTTAGATAGTCAAGAATCTTATTTGCACGAGATGAAAAGAATCCTCATACAGTATATAAATAATTTATTACCTCTCTCGCCGGTTTTCTCTTGACTTCTTTTTCCTTGAAGCGTTCGTCTCGCTGCGCAATATCATTCCCTCTGAACTCTACTTCGCCATCGGATAGGACGTCTTTTTCATCCTCCAGCTTTTGCCGTTCTGCATCCGCGTTAAAGCTTGCCAATGATTCAGATTCAGCGTCTAGGGCGTCGTCATCCGAGAGACTTAGAGCTCGCAATAACTCTGCCGGAGCTGACCTAACTAGTACAAAAACCACAAAATAAGAGAGCTCGCAATAATGTGTGTTGGACCATTCGAACACAGACTGCTAAGTCGCGTCTAGTTTCTCATTGAGAAACGCTTGAGTTTGGTACAGATTGCACTAACAGCCTGAGACTAATGATCTCTGGCTGCTTTGATCCCTGTGGATGTTCATTGGGGTTGCAAGGGAAGGAAGTCTCAGCTTCTTCATTGGGGTATCATGTTGCATGGGGAAAGCTTCATATGCTTCATATGGGAACACCTATGCTATCATCATTGATTCATACGATCATCTTTATGCTCTTTGAACTGATCAGAACAGCCAAAACGTTATGAACCTGGTTACAGCTATGAACATTCGTTATTTCTGCTATCTGAATGCGTTGAGAGTCCTTTGCCTGTTGATCATTGACTTTGGAACCATATGCATTTAGGTCTGTGAGTTATCTCTGAGATCTTTCCGGTGTTGCTTTGTCCTTGACTGTGTTGAGAGGCTTGAGCCACAAACGAGAGAGAGAGGAGAAGCCAGAGACACCCGCGCGACGGTAAACCCGTCGGGCGTTTGGATAGTGCTCCGGTAACCTTTAGCCTGGCGATCTTGGTCATTTTGATGATCTTCATCCTTCTGATCTTTGTGGATCTTTGTGACGTTTCAAGGATTTACGACCATGACCAACAATGTGAAAGGAATAGACTCTATCTTGTGACTATATGAGGACCGACATGTTGGGATATTAGCCGCTTCTAATTCATTCAATGGGCGACGGCGGCTACTTTTTTTTTTTTTGGGACCTGGGTCTATATTCCTTCGTCTGGGCTAAACGCCGCGTCACAGCAGTCCTGCCTGCACGAGTGAATCTTTTGAACTCATAGCTAAGTCATATCATAGACTCCTCCAAGAGGCAAAAGCGGAGCTAGATAAAGATCTCCTGTGAGCAGCAATTCTTAAATGAGCAGCATAATAAACTGTCCGAAGGCTCAGTGGACGCCGCCTCGTCGCCATTGTTGTAGACGTCTGCACCCGCCCGAAGGAATCCAATCAACGACTGGTCAACCACAGGAACGTAAATGTTGTCACTGTTGAGTGTGACCGCTTCCGGTTGAGTGTGACCGGCAGCCTGCGCAGCCTTCTTATCTTTGAAAGACGAAGACATATTTTTTCTTGTAGAAGTAGATAATGTGTCTTGTTTTACGAAAAATAATGTGTCTTGTTTTACATATTTTTTCTTGTAGAAATACAGATTATGTGTCTTGAATGAATGAATGAATGTGCCTAACAAGAGGTATGTGCCTAAGAACTCATCCTTTTTATCTTAAGCTTGAACTAATCGAAAAAAAAAAGCAGAAAAGGTGAGGTGGATTGGACAACAAGTCAATGCAGTAGTGACGGAAAACACTCACGTCGACAATCGAAAGTTACCATGCAATCAAAACATCAAGATATTTCATAAGTAAGACTTTCAAGGATTGGTCATTGTCTAGTAGAGTTCTGTGTTTTCCGATGCCAATATCGTGTTCATCAACCCACAGCTACAGCACGACCAGACTATCTCTGAGTTTCACGACTACCTAAACGAAAATTGAAAATCACAAAACAGGCGCGACACAACCAAAGAAAGTTGTTATTGGGTGGTCAAACTTGTTGTAGGATTCGAAAGACAGATGAAAGGAAACCATATCCGTAGTCATGATTTTATTATTATTATTATTATCATTCGCGCGCGTGACCCTCTCGAATCGCAAGTGTCGCGCTCGCGGCGCCCTTACCGTCTGGCACTAAGGAGAATCAAAAATGCAGGAGGGGGTGGATGAATAATTAGAATCGTATCTCAACTCAACAGACATCTCAGATACACAAATGTTGGCCTCCTTAAGTACCATAAGACTTACACATTTGCTTCCTCAGCTGTACAGAATTGCAGGCTGCGCATGGGATCTTCTACAGAATTTACGAATCATTTCAGAATCATTTTGAAAGGGAGTGAGGAGAACGAGAATGGGCGATGGAAGTGGCTTCATGTACTTGCTCTAGCCGAAAAGCGTACCGTGGTAGTGGTCATTTTAGTTCGATAATATATTATGAATATTATTATAATCAAACGATGACGCAATAGAGGTTAACACAGAACAGATAATGAGAGGGGAAACGCTTGCTGAGATGATGAGAGGGCGACTCGAGAAGATTCTTGACGGTACATCAACTTCCCCTACTTTGGTCGACAACAGTAAAGAAAAAGACGTCAGATCTTGAAAATGAGATGCGCGCTTGTGTTGATAAACGACGGGAGGAACCAGGTATTCCTTAGTGGTGGTGGAAGCTGCGCTGAGATATAGATTGATAGAGACATTCCTAACAGAAGAGTAGCAAAAGACTCTCTTCTTGAGTTCTACTCTCTCCTCACTTCTTGAACCTCATTGATTCTTTTGGATTTATTCTCTCCGCCGTGTAATTCGTGTAAGGACGTACAACAATCCTGAGGCAGCTCTGCTGGAGATATTTCATCAGCCTCCAACTCTACAGAGAATTTTAACAGATTGATGGCAAATAGCTAGGTGTCTTGTAACTCTCAACGACAGACTTTTGACAAGAGGGATATTAGCACGTTGACAACTCACATGCACAGATATAGCAGCTCCCCTTTCCGCGACTGACTATTCTCGAAATTGCTGCGACTAGTCTCAGACTCGTTGCGACTAGTCTCGGACCCATTGTGACTAGCCTCGCTCTTGCTGTGCGTGGTCTCTGCTTGAGTTTGTCGGGCTGTTCGAATCTTAACGCCATCAGAATGAATACACAAGCGCCAGCTCCTGATGAAGTTAAGACTCAAACAGCCCGACGAACTGAGTCAGAGGCTAGCCACAGTAAGAAAGCCCGAGGCTGGCCACAGTGAGCGCGAGCCCAGTCGTAGTAAGTTTGAGGCCCGTCGCAGTGGGTTTGAGACTAGTCGCAGTAATTCTGAGACCAGTCGCAGCAATTCTAAAACTGGCCACAGTAAGGATCAGTCTGGTCATAGTAAGACTGCGACTAGGCAGCCACGGCAACGCTGAGGCTGGTCGCAGTAATTTCGCGACTAGTCGCAGCAACTTTGCGGCTCGTCGAAGTAATTCTGCACCTAGTCCCAGCAGTTTTGCGGCCCGTCGCAGTAATTCTGCACCCAGTCCCAGCAGTTTTGCGGCTAGTCGCCGTGGCTTTGCGACTAGTCGCCGCAGGTCTGAGGCTAGTCACAATAAGGGCCACAGCTTCCACAGCTCTCCAACTTCGCGGGCAATCGGGTGACAAAGCCCGCGGCGGTTTCATAGGTCCACGGCCTTCGCGGCCAGAACGTGAGCGCAGTATGTATTAAGTTAGCGACTATATTGCTTTTTGCTGGAGTGTGGTACCCATCCCACGTCGGACTCGAAGGGGCGCCTTTGTTGATACTTGGCGTAGCACCTTGCTTCGCATACTTTAGACGCACCTGCATACGAAGTGCTGGCGTTTTTTGGTATTCCTGGCGCGTCTTTCCCTTTGATGCAAGCACGAATGTGTAAAAAAATAATATTGATGCGTCTGTCGTGTCATGTTACCTCTTTGCTCATCCTCACAAACGATTTTGGGGCCCTTCATCAGTCACCCTGTGCCTTTTAATTAGAAGAGCAGCGACCGCGAGTGATGAACTTTGGATGCCTGTTAGAAAGAAAAAAGCTGTTAGCCCTTACTTGCAGAAACTGCGGCTTTCCCCTTTGGATGTTTTAACAGTTAATCGCCCACTTTCGTGAGTTGAAACAGGGACAGCTCTACCCATTCTCCATCTTCATCGCAGTAGGCTTGGGGGCTTGGAGCCAGCACTAGTGCCCAGATGAAGAAGGCTGCCGCTGCTGGCGTCATTACAGCAGCCATCTTCCCACCCCCCTGTAGTAGCCTTTTTTTCAAGGTTTAAAAGCCTCACTGAAAAACTGCCGATAATCCCAGGAGCCGCGTAATGCTAAGGCCAATTCCTCGGCTGTCTTTGTTCTATTTCATTCTTACGTGACCGCCTGGCGCTTTTACTTGCTTGCTTTTTAACCTTCTATTAGGACTGTCCGGCATTCATCCTGGACTTGCATCCTTAAACCGTATCGCGATGAGGGTACTCCCCCTAGTTTTCTGGGATGCTCTGAAAGGTGAATAGCCTCTAGCCTTAATCTTATACAACGCGCTGCGCCTTGATGTTACTCACATGCCAGCTTTGACAGAATCAGTCTGCTCACCGCTCTAATTTTTATTCCCAAAGATTTTTGCTCTCGCCTCTCTATTAACAGTCACCGCAACTATATAGACAAGAGCAGCAATATCTTGCTGTGATTACTCTGATCGAAGAAAACACTGCCAACAGCAATACCTATAGTAGACCTATAAAGCGAAAAAGTGCACTCACCCTCAAAAAAGCAGGCACTTCCTAAGCAGTTTGCTCTTCTTTATCACATTATAATATGCAAACACTTCAAAGCCACACTGCCTGACATTCTACTACAACAAAAACAACAGCATGCAGCCTACTTCGTCGTGGGGATCGGGGCCCCCTCCTCAGCCGTCCGCATGCACAGAACTGAGAAGCATTACCCTAGCAGGCAGCGCCTACGTTAGTCAGGAGGGCTAGGCATACAGCGTGGTAAGATTTGTAAGCATAGAAGTCTCTTCCCAGAAAGTTTAAGTTTATTTTTCATTTCTATAAAAATGGCGGAAGTCGTTAACCCATGTCCTTTCATTCTTCCCCACAGTCTTGTTTCTATCTACAAGCAAACGACGACTCCAGTCGCGCTAGCTTTTCATACTACTGCACGCCTTTTTTTTCTCTCTACAGAAGGCCCCACCCAGTGTGGCTGGCCCAGGTTGTTGCTTGATGTTGTGACCACCGACACCAAGACGAAACTAAATGCGACGACTGGTCTCGATCAGTGGTCTTGCCCACGACCTTCCACCTGACCCCTTAGGAGAACCAGCCGCTGGCTCAATCCCCTCCATCTTGTCATCGCCTTGGCCCATTCCACATCACAATCCCAACAATTACCGCAAGCCCAATCAGGCAGGCGATTGCCAAAACCAAACCAATCAAGAAGAATACCTTCGTTTGCAGAAACGAGCCACGCACCAGGGAAGCCGAGCGGCCAGCCCCTGCTAGCGAGGCTGCGCCATTTTCATCCTGGAGAAAGAGGCAAGCGAGCTGGGGGGGCCCCTTGTATGCACATGCGTGACCACTTTTTTCCGCGGTTCCGACCATGGAAATTTTCTGCACCACTGGAGGCTTGCCATGCTCGCTGACAGCACCCGCGTCTAGCCCCTTCCCCCCTTCCGCTCCTTTTTCGTAGAAGAGCTCCCCGATGACATTCGTGCCCCCTTCACGAGACCCTGCACCCGGGAAGAAGATCCCCTTTGATCCACCTCCCGGAAATTCCTCATACTCTTTGACGACCTTCGTCAAGACCTGAGGAAGCTGGGCGCAGGTCTCCTTCACCATCGCGACCCGGGCCTTGCTAAACATGCCAAGAACCTTCGCCCACTTACCTTTATCTTGGTTTGCGCAGGCCTCCAAAATGCTGCGCGGCAGCTTCGCGGTCAGCGCCAGCTGAAAGCGAAAAGCGAGGCCGCGCGGGCTGTAGAGAACCGGGATGGGCTTCGTCACCGATGTCGTACGCACGAGGCGTCCCAAGGTGGATCTGCTGGATTTTTCCATGTCGACCAGCCCCATGTACGTCTCCCAAAGGTCCGACCACGTTGCATCCCGTTGCCGTTTTCCTTGTTCGTCGCGCGTGCGCAGGGTGATCTGTCTACTGTACTCCTTCGGCAAAAGATAAAACTCCACCACTTCGTTCTCCTTCCAGAAAACAGTCAGCCACACATCCTCCTTATCTCCCTCATACTGCAGCAAGCCTGAGTACTCCCCCAAGCGTTTTACACAATCGCCGTCCTGAAACCCGTTGCCAAGCGCCGAGAGGACGCGCGTGGCCATATACTTGCCGTGCCTGCAAAGACCCTCAAGCGCCTTCTTTTGATCTGGTCCACCTGCAGCCTGCGTTTCGAGTCGATGCACCCACTTAATCCGATCTGGGTGTGCCGCTGCCGCCTCACCTTCTCCACCACAATCGCAGCCCGCCGAGGATCCACAACCACAGTCAGACAGCTGAAAAAACCCATCGCCATGGCCCACCGCGTCCGCCTTGGTTTCATTCCAGGTAGCAGGGGCCGCCCCAATCTGCAGGAGGCCACTGCTCTGGGCCACTTCGTCGCCGGGTTTGTTGACATCTGGGGCACGGTCACGCTTTTCGAGCACGGACGAGGAGCTAGGAGCAGCCGAGAACTGGCCACGTGATCAGAGGATTGAATGATAAGCATTGCCAGTCGAGTCCTAAGCAACAGCTAAGAAATGAATGATAACGAAATAAAAGGAGCCTCTATCCTATTCATTTGCTCTTAAATGAATAGTCAGACGAGCAGAAAAGCCTGGGCCCCTCCACTGAAGGAACTGGCGCCAAGCCAATCGACAAGAAAACGCCAGCAAAACGCCCCACAGGCCACCCGAGGCCACGTTCGAACTTTAGACTATTTCTTGAGTAGCGCTACTCAAAACCAGGCCTCAAAAACCAGTGGCTTTTGAGACCTGAAGGCCTCAAGCTTGGGCTTGAGACTTGTTGTGAGTCGCGCTACTCAGAACAGGTCTCAAAAGCCACTGGCTTTTGAGGCCTGGAAGCCTCAAGTTGTTTGCTTGAATTGTCTTGCGTCAGATCCTCAAGTTGAAAATCATCCCCGAAAACCAGCCACTTTTGAACCCTTTCCTCTGTAGCTCTACCCATTGAGCTGGCCCTACCCCTCCAAAAACCACTGGTTTTTGAGGATGATATATAATTTGAGGATCCGACGCTCGCAAGACAGTTTAAAAAACTTGAGACTCCTCCAAGGCCAGTGGCTTTTGAGGGTTGTTCTGAGTAGCGCTACTCAAGAAAAGTCTCAAAATTCAGTCTGAGACCTTCAGGCCTCAAAGGCCGCAGCCAGTGGCTTTTGAGGCCTGCTCTGCGTAGCGCTAATAGCCAAAAGCCTCGAGGAGGAGCCTGCCTCAGGCCTCCGAGCCTTGGGGCCTACTCTTCGCCAAAGAGGCCGGGCAAGGCAGAATCTTCACCCCCGACCAGACGCGTGGAGCTGCGCCGCGATACATCGGCCGGCTATCTTCGGCAGCCTGGGCCGCCCTAGGCAAGCAGGCGTAAAATTTGGCCAGTGCAGCTCCTCAAGCTTTTCCGCTGTGCTCTACCAATTGTGGCCAAGAGCAGTAGTGCGGATAATATTGATGCCCACTCTGGTGTAGTTAAGGCTATAGTAGCAGCAACAACAAGAAGAGGGCCGCCTCTAGTGGTTTCTTATCTTGCTCGAAACCATGCAAGCGTCATGGCTCGTAGCAGTGTGCTCTTGGCTATTGTTCATTATAGAAAAAAAGATGAGGAGGCGAGGAAAGCTGATTAAAATTGTCGTGGACCTCTGTCGGGTGGTAAGAAAAATTCAGTAAGGTCGTGGCGAGGGTCCACGCACTAGTACAGTTGTCGAGGTAGGAACAAGAGTACCTGAGTAGGGTAGCCCCGCTGCGCCAGAAACTGACCACCAGCTCCCGCAACATCAAGGGCACGACCAATTAAGAGCAGGGGGATCATACAGCGTCCGACTTTGGAAAAAGTAGGCGACATCTTGATCCTTTTTGTGATTGTTGGGGTAGCAAAGAGATCGACGTGGAGAAAAATATGATGACTAATAAAGCCACGGGAATCGTTTTTGTTGTTGACAATCTAGCGCTTTCACTAAGAACGCAGGATGGTGGAGTTGAAGGACTACTTGAGGCAACCAAGGATAATTACTGTTGAAGAAGTTGCTGCACTTGCAGAGCAGTTCTGCTTTCATCTAACTCTTTGCAAAAGAATGACGATCATGAACAAACTCCAGACTTTTCCGATCGATGACGCCGAACATACAATAAGGAATAAACCTCAGACTTTTTTTGCAGAATGATGACGATGATAACTTCCTAGACTTTTAAAAAGCGACAAACCCAGGAAAGAGGTGGCAAAAGGGCGGCCGACGTTTCTCCTGAACATGTGCTGCTGTTGGGGTTTTTCGGTAAAATGGCTCAAACTACATCATTACCAAGAAGGACGTGGCCTTCACCACAAAAGTTGAGCACTTACAAGGGGCTCCGTAAAGTCTGTCCTCATCAAACAGAACCAGTGATGCTGCTTCTCTCTCGCTCTCTCAAACAGAACGTTGACGCCGCCTCCCTCTCGCTCTCTCTCTCTCGAACAGAAATGCTAGCGCTGATCTTCTCTCTCAAACAGAAGCGCTAGCGCTGCTTCTCTCTCGCTCTCTCAATCAGCAGCGCCAACGCTGCTCTTCTCTCTCAAACAGAGGTGCTAACGCTGCCTCCCTTTTTCTGAAACAGAAACGCTACCAAAGGTGCGCCTCCTCTCTGCCAAATAACAGAAACGCACCCGCTTCACTCTCAAGCAGAATTGTCGTGATCGCCGTTGCTACAGTCTCCTGCAGAAGTAGAACTCTTGCTGCTGCCCTCAGAAACAGATCATATGCTGACTCTCACAGACAGAAGCGTCGCCGCTGCCTCCCTCTCTCACAGAAACCAACGCTGTTGGTACTCAGAATGCTGAGGATGCGCGATACGGAACAAACACGACATCCCGACACGAAAATGTGTCCGATCATGAACGTTGGAAAAGCACGAGGTAGTTCAATCATCATGGTCTAGAAATACTTATGGTGCTGGATGCTTCAATATCATTTATTGGGTCGCAAGGAAGCCAGCTCCTCGCGGGAACCACCTCTACAATTTTCATATTTTCCTCATTACGAGTACAGGACATACTTGTTCTTTAGTTTAGGGCAAAAAAGCTCTTTTTACCCTAAACCAGAAAAGCCAAATCATGCTTCCTGCTTCAGATTCAGATGTTGATGTAACCTTTTTGTTCGCGACAAACATGCTCAAGTCGCTGTCCCTGTTACGACAAGAACGCTAAAGCTGCTAGTGCTTCTCGAGAGTCCTTCTAATGTAAATTTACTCGTGCTCGATATAATAAAGTGCTCGAAAACCTTCCACGACGGACTCTTGCAAGTAAAAATGTTCTTGGTTACCAGTTGTTAGTAGGTCTAGGTACGATCATTTCTTCAGTAGTTAACAATATAAGTGTGTTGAGGGGTGCGGGCGCCAATTTATAGTTAGGATACAACAGATGGTAGATATGATACATACTGAACAACTATTATGATGTGTGTTTTGTTGCTTTTCGACTGAAATCGTATGAAAGCGGTCGTAGGAGATAGAAACTATCTATCTACGTAGCTAGTTAATTCGTAAAAAAAAAGTTCTCAAACGAAATTTTTATGGTTCTCGATAATAATCTAAGATCTCCTAGTTGTCCGGTTGTACATGTCGTCGGACCTTGTAATGTTAAGAGGTCGTCGACGGTGGACAGAAGCACGAAGTGGAACTACACCACTGTCTTAATTTGTTGATATAATACTGCAATTCATTTACATACTTACCGGCAACCCCCTCTGTTGTTGATGTTGTGTCAGTCGTGTGCTAGAAAATGTACAGAAAACGACGATATTCCCCGACAAACGCTGCGCCGCCGCCGTTCGTGCAACCGCGTTCTGGCGCCTTCCGCCAGCGGTCATAATTCTATTTGTACAACGAAGATTCGATAAAAGCGCAGCGTAAGGGTTCTTCTTTCAAATCTTGATGAAATCATTGATTCAATAGTTCGGTTGTAGTTCTATCAAAAAAGTACGTCTATTCAGAGCTCTTGTTTTCCAGGTACAACTCCATCTCATGTCTCTAACTATCAAATATAAGTAACTATCCTTTTTCCCAGTCGCAGCGCAGGGATGTCGTCATCCCTGCGCTAGCCTGTGATCAGTAACTATCCTTTTTCCCAGTCGAAAAAAAAAGTTCTAGTTCAGTTCATCTAACTCATTGATGTACTACGATTGAATTTAAGTATTCTAATCCTAATTCACCTATTCGAATTTTTCCTTCAGTCAATGTCAAATAAATCGAAATACTACTTGTATACATAGTTTATGCTTTTCCTACGACCATGTGGCGGCTCTTCTTCTCCTTCTTCCCATAATTTTCTCGTGATTTATTCACCAACGCCAGGTTCTTCAGGATCAGGGTTACTACTACTAATAATACTACTGTTACACAAGCACAACTTGTTCAGTTCTTCTGAGAAGTTCTTCTGAGAAGCTATATTTTCAGCAGGGTATTAGTTACTTCTACAACGTTACAATCAATACTTGTTCTTCATCCAGTCCCTTTCCGTCCTCAGTCCTTTGTTTCCTCAGTCGCTTTCCGTCCTCAGTCCTTTCCGTCCTCAGTCCTTTGTTTCCTCCGTCCTATTCCTTCATTTGGCCGAATATGTTCATAAATGCAACAGCTGCTGGGTCTCCACTCTTCTGCCAGTAATCGCCGTCAAATCCAGGCTTAGCGCCTCCTTTAGGCGACGCTTTAGGAGGCACACCACGCACACCGTAAGGGTGTCCGTGGTTAGGACTAGGTTTTGGAGAAGCTTTGGGTGGTACGGGGTACCATCTGGTGCCGGAACCAGAAGTGGAGTAGTTGTTCATCCAAGATGAATTCTTTGTTGAGGCAGTACCAGTAGACGAGCTAGAGGACTTTGAGGACTGGTGCGGGTTTGCTCCTGTAGACGTAGAGCTCGAAGACTTTCCATACTGCTGGTTGTGCTGTGTATAGTCCTTGTTCTTGTTGTTAGTACCGTGGAATAATGCAGCTCCACTCGTCCCAACAGTAGTATAATTGATGCCGTACGAGGAGGACGATGCTCCTCCAGAAGCTGTTGTCGGCGTGCTAGGCGTGACTACAGGCGAGCCTTTCATATTCAGCATCCCACTAGTTGTGCTAGTGCCACTATTGCCGCTGCCGCTGTTATTCCACATATCCTTCCTCGATGGTGAACTTGGCTTTGGATGATCTTTGCCAGCATAGAACATCCCTCCTTTCCCCTCCTTGCCGTCTTTCCCGTGCTCACCTTTGCCATCACCCTTGCGATAACCATGTCCATGGTGCGGTAGAGCTGACGTGCCATCTTTTGCTGATGTTGAACCACCTTTATTGAGGCCCTTGCCTTTCATGGCAGCACAGAGATCGCTATTCCCCTTCATGCTAGCAAGATCCGCAAACGTTAAGGCCTTGCCCTTCTTCATACCTTTGTTGACGACGTGGTCCAGGAGGAGACTTTTTTCGCCCTTCTTCTTGCCTTTATTTTCTCCCTTATCACGACCTCCTCCTTTCAGAAATATGCAACTTGTAGGTGTAGGAGAGCAGTTCGCGCGCTCGGAAGGGTGAACGTTCTGTCCTTTTTCAGAGCGTTGCACCTCCCCGTCCGGCTCAGAATCCGATGACAAGTCCAGAGAAGATGAGTCCTCCTCTGCTGCTTCCTCTAATAATATTAGGCTATTCGTAGTAGATGCTGCAGGCTTATTGTTCGAACCACTAGATGAAGAGGCACCTTCTTTGACGTGGACTCCTGATGATCCTCCTCCTCCAGAATGGAATCCATTGCCTGTGAAATCCGTCAGCACTAAACCTGCTAGTCCTGCAGCATCGAATGCAGCTGCTTTTCCACCGCCTTTGCCGCCGATGATATCGAGTCGACCCGCTGGACTAGAGGTCAATGCGCGCACACCTCCCAGATCCATGCTGCCGTGTCGACTGACCGGTCGGCTGCCAGCGATACTAGCCGCGCAACTAGTATTGGCGCTACTGCTCGCGCTGCTGCACGCCTTGCTCCCGCCACGACTACCAGCTATAGAGGGCATGTTGCTGCTGATCACACTGCGCAAACCTAGTAAAAATGACGTAGGAAAGAATGTTGTGAACAAGCTTGTGAACTTCGAAAAACTGAAATAGGCAAGTAACTCCTCCGAATAATAAGCGAGATACTGATGAGAAGGAAGAGTAGCCTTGATGCTATAAGCTAGTGCCTCCCTTATTTCAGTCAGTAACTCGGTTATTTGGAGTTTTCGGAACTTAGATAGTCAAAATAAAACATATTCCACTTGAGATGAGAAAAATCCTGATCACAGGACAGAGAGGCGGTTTGCTGCTGAATCACATTTTTCTACTTTTGTTTTTGTGTTAATGTAGTTTTGGGTGAAATACATAGAAAAAGTTCGATTTTTGTTAGTTTACTTTATTCTAATAAAAATAACAGTAGTACTGCTCAGATCTTCATCCATGTCTATGGATCCCGATCCGCGTGGGTGTGTCGTACTATACTTGCCACTCTTGCTTGCTTTGAGTTTCCCCACCTGAGTTATGGACTTTTGTTTGTCCTTCATGTCCACTGTGACAAGCTGCTTTACCTTGGTGCAGAACTTCTCGTATTCGCCGTGGTGTTTCAGCGCGCCTTTGAACTTATCGATGTCGGTTAGCTTCTCCCCTAGCCGCCGCTTCCACCATCGGATGGAAGCGTTGTCGTACTCGTAGAGCCCAGTAGTCCAAAGGTCCTCTTCGCCGAAAATTTCTGTGAAATCCAAGAAGTTCCAGATCCCAGATCGCGGACGCAGATCCGCTTGGGGGACTTCGTCTAGGTTATACACTTTTCTCTTGTAAAAAACCTGCTTGCCGCCACTAGAGTTCTTATGGGCGCCGCTAGAACTAGAAGTAGTAGGGAAACCCGAAGTAGAACTCGTAGTTGTGTTCTTGTAGCCGTTCTTGGAAGAACTGGTGCCAGTTGTACTGCTCTTTTTGCTATTTTGATTGACATTGTTCATGCTCCCACTTCTGCTTTTCTTGGCTACGAAACTGTCCTTGGATCCTGCGCGAGTCTTCTTCTCCGGCTTGCGCTCTTTTGAGCCAGAAGAGGAGGCGTGAGGACGCCCCGCCGGCGCTTTCATACTGGTCTTCTTGCTTTTTGTCGGTGGTGGCAGTGCTGTCTCGACATCTGCCGACTTTTTTCGCGTCGTACTGCTCTCTTTTGATGCCGGCCTCTTGGAAGCCTTATTATTGCTTGTTCTCGTACTAGTGCCTCCAGCTCCAGTTGCAGGAGGAGTAGCTTTTTTACTACTGCTATCTACTGCAGTAATTGTGGAAGTTGTCGGCTCTCTATTTTTAGAAGTAGTCTCGACCGAAACCGACTGCTTGCTTTGACCACCTGTCTCGGTGACAGTTGGAGCACTTCTACCAGCCGCAGAGCCAGACTTTGCTTCAGCAGACGCATTTTCTGACGTCTTCTTCTTTGCGCTGCTCTTCTTTACGGCCATTTTAGTTGTTGACGCGCCAGAGGATGACGTTGTGTGTGTGTCATTCCCCATGGTGGCGACGCTTGTTCCTTCTGCTGCATCTCCCTCTTCTCCTCTTTGCCCTGTGGCACTAGAGGACACCGGTTTTGCACCAGCTGCACTAGAAGACATAGAGGAAGAGGTGTTCGTGTTGTTATTGGTTGTATTAATATTGCTACCCCCTCCTCCTGCACCTGCAGCACCCACGACACCCAGACTAGTTCCTGAATCAGCTGTTGCAGTTGTTGTACTAGAGGAAACCTGGTGACTCATCTGTCCTGACACAGTATTTGTAGTAGAACTCATCATAGAAGTTATCGTCGAACCGGATGAGACGTGAGCACTCCGAACCCTTTGGCGAACTGCTCCAGCCTGCAGTTTTTTCTTGATTGTATAATCCGTCATTCTCCATTGCTCGTACTCAAACTGCGAATACTGCTGTTGGTACTGAGTCCGGGAACTAGCCTTTGTGATCTTGTTGTCTCCGTTCATCTGGTGCGTCGACACCAGATGCAGACTCTGCTGAAGCTCGCCTCCTCCTCCATGAGAAGGAATTTGAGAACTACTTCTACCAGGATCGTTGTTTTCGAAACAGTTCAAGATTCGTGTCCGGTAGAACCATAAGGCCTGCAATTCGTACAGCTTCGCGTGCAGCATCAAACAGCGCTGCAAGCTTAGGTCCTGCTCCTCACGCGTCCCCGGTCCCATCCGAGCTAGTCGTTCCTGCAAGGAATCCATCCCGTCCGCGTCAGCTGCTTCTTCGGGCTGCCCAGCTACCCGACTTTCCAAAGTACTAGAGTGCTCAACATTCCCTATCCCTCCTCCACCATAATTCGTCGGCACGACGCCATTGTTGTTGTTCAACATAGAAGAGGAGGAACCAGAAGACGATGATGAACTACTAGTTCCGAGTGGACCAGGATAATTCGCGGTATTGCTAATCGAGATATCACTGTGCCCTTCTGCGCAGTGCTGTTCCTCCGCACGGTCCTCGCGTATCCACCTGGCGATGTAATGCAACCAGATATCGTTCTTTTTGCCCAAAGAGAGCGGACAAATCAAGAATCGGTGCCAGTAGTTGTCGAAGGTCTCCTTGTCCACACCCGCATAAAGTGATGGCCACCTGAAAATTAATTTCGAAAAAATGACGTGAAATCGAAATTAATTAATGACTCTGTTTTAACAAGAAGATATTTGTGATATTATAAACAAGCCAAGAGTAGTAGTACGTGCTGCACTCTCTTTTAACAATATTACAAGAATTCTAGTGGTACGTGCATAAAGTGATGGCCACCTGAAAATTAATTTCGAAAAAATGACGTGAAATCGAAATTAATTAATGACTCTCTTTTAACAATAATATTACAAGAAAAATTCTAGTGGTACGTGCACTCAGGCAAGTCGACTTCCAGTACGCGCTGTTCTAGGTCAGGCAAGCGCTCGAAGTGTCTCTCTGGAAAGACCAGTTGGAGCTTCTGAGCATGACCGGGAATAGGCTGTAGATGGATGTAGAGGACAGAACGCACGTCGAACAGTTGCTCCAGTTCGCCCCACATCGCGCTCTCTGCCGTCATCAACGCACGAAAACTCAATTGCCTAAAATCTGCCACAGTCAAGTTGGTTCCGCTCTGCTGGGAGGCGGTCTTGTTGTGGCGCGGAGTGAAGAACGAAGAACGGTTGTTGATGTTGTTGTGCTGCGAAGTACTTGTAGACGTGGAGCTACTGCTGGGCTGAACTTGTGAATGTTCTCCACCTCCACCAGCCTGAGCCTGTTTGCCAGGGGCCACGGGGGTAGGTGGCGCCTGACAGACAATGTCGTTCACATTCTTCAACTTCAGGTACGGAAGGATGTCCGTGCCGACTAGCTCCTCGAATCGCTCGGTTTCATGGAGAACCCAATACTCATAGTTGTGAAGGAACAGTCGTCTTTTCCAAAGCTGTTCCTGGTGCGCTTGATTCCGCGTGCGACGCCGAGGCTCAACTGTGGAGGTTTTGATTGTGGCATCATGCAACTTGTGGGAAGCAAGTAGATTTAGTGTAATTATTTATCAAAACAAAAAAAAACATTTATCAGAATCAGAATGGCTAATAATCACATCACAATGAAAGAAACAGGAACACCAGCTGAGCACTTCCACGTAGTCATGATAGACTAAAATATCTGCAGTCTAAGTACCTGGCTTCTCTTCTTCGCTATCGTTTTCGGCGTCACTAGCGTCTGTTGGAGGCCGCATAGGACTCTTCTCGCGCTTAAACTTTTTCTCCTTCCGCTTATCCAGAGAGTTGGCACGCTGACGCTTCTTAGCTCCTGCTGAACTAGAACTACTATTGTCCTTATGTTGATCGCCTTTGACCAGATCCTCGTGATCCGAACCTCCAAGGTTTTCGTCTTCAGAGTCAGCATTACCTTGTAGTTGTTCACGACCGCTTTGGTGGTCTCCCCTTTCCGAACGACCAATGGACGATTCTTCACTGTCGTTGTCGTCAACATCATGGTTCGAGGACTTATTGTTGTCGCCCGAGATGAAAGAGCCTTTTGCTACGCTCGAACAAGCTGAGGCTGACCGAGTCCTAGAGGCTACCCCTGCTACTCCTGCTGCAGATGTTCCACCTAGAGGATGTTCCTTCTCTACTTTGGTTGCTTTTGCCCGTTTGGGGCTCTTTTTCTTGTTGTTCTTCTTCGACTTTGGGGAAGAGGACAACTTGCTTTTCCGCTTGTTGGTGCTTGCTTCTACTTGCTCCGCGCTGGTGGACTTCTTTCGCATCACGACCCGCCCGGATGTTGTTGACAAAGAGCGCTGGCGTCCTCCTTCAGCGTCCTCCAAGCGGTCTAGACCTTTTTGATGTGAGTGCGACGAGTGCGACGATGAGGCAGTGGTAGTGTTACCTCCACCAGCATGTGAGTGCGACGAGTGCGACGATGAAGCAGTGGTAGTGTTACCTCCGCAACTCTTTGGGGCTTCGCCGTTTAAGTGGTCTGTTTCTCCATCAAGGACACCTTTGGACGTCGAGTTCGCCATTGAAACGAGCTCCAGAGCCGAGCCCCCTGTCGTGGGCGACCACGCAGACTGCGGCAAAGTTAAGGGAGACGCTCCAGCGATCAGGCTGTCAGCCGCACTGACGGAGCGGCTTGTGCTGGTGGTCACGCTGGACACGCATGAAGGACTCTCGTACAAACTCCCGGCTGTCGACTGCTCGCTGCTGCTGCTCTCAGTCGCGGCAGAGGCTGTTGCAAGCGGGCTGTCCTTTGGCTTGGGTGCATCCTGCTCTACTTTCATGGTGCGTATATTTTCGGATTTGGACGATGATATTTTTCGCTTCGAAGTAGTATCAGCGGTATTAGTTGAGGCACTTTTCTTTCTCCCTTTGGATGCTGGATTCTCTTCAGCCTTCTTCGTCTTTCCTTCTTTTTCTTCTACGAAGATCGCAGCTTCACTTCCTCCGTCTTCATTTGCCGCTGACGATTCAGAGGGCTGTTCGACGTTACTTCCCGTAGCAATAGCATCTGCGTCGCTCCTGTTAGACGTACTGTCTGCCTTATTTTCACTCGGTGCCGGATTATTTTCTGCCGGATTCTTTTCTGCCGTCGGAGAAGCTTCCTTTGCAGCCTTCACCTCCTCGTCTTCTTCAACTTCCGTCTGACCCTCGTCTACGCTCCCACAGCCAAAGTCTACCTCTGACAACCCTAATTCGTTCGACGGTTTCTTCTCGTCTTCAACAGTTTTTGAGGTTGCAGCTTTACGAGTAGAACAAGTATTTGTCTTAATTTTACTAGTTTGCAAGCTCTTTTTCTTCTCTGCTTTCTTAGTTCCGCTAGAAGTGCCGCTGCCCTTTTTCGTCGTTTGCTCTGCTTCTGCGGCAATCTTCTTCTTGTTCTTATTAACTTGTTGTTCAACAGCACTTTTTACTGCGCCAGCGCGCTTTCTCTGTTGAGAAAGTCCGACCTTCTTTTTCGCGGGAACTGCTACCTTTTTTGTCTTCTTCTTCTTTTTTCCTGCGCCAGTCTCCTCCACGTAGTCGTCCTGTGAGCTAGCAACGGCATCCTTTTTCATCCCCTCTTCGCTGCTGTTCTCACCTGCAAGTTTCTCTTTGTCAGCATCAGAAGGAGCTTTTTCTCCTGTACAACTAGTTGTGCCAGCTGCTTGTTCTTGCCCACGTGCGTGTCTTCTATTTTTGCGCTGAAGCCTTGCTTCCTTTGCTGGGAGGCTCGCCTGACTGCCCTCTTCCTTGATTTGCGACAATTTTGGCGCAGCCTCTTTTTCCAGCTGCAATCTTCGTTCCTCCTCGAGTTTTTCCATGCGTTCCTGCTCTTGGTAGGCCCTCAACTCTTGCTGCCGTGCTTTCGACCGCGTTCGCTCGTCCCAGATTTTCAGGTCTCGTCGGTGCTTGCGACTCGTCGAACTTCCAGCACCCGAACTGCTCATGCTGCTTCGGTCGCACACGATGGCGTGCGTGCCGCCAACAGCTCTAGCGCTAGTAGCTATGTGATGCTGTTGTAGTTGTTGGGCATGCGCTTGCGCCATCTGGTGCATCCTCATCTGCTGTTGCTGTTGTGCTACACTCATATTCTGGTAATGCTGTGCTGCACCACCATGAAGATGCGGATTCACTACTACACCATTGTGGTTCATGTAGGGACCTCCGATTCGACTCCCAGGCCCACCATTGGGTCCCCCTCCAAATAGTGGCAGATGCAACTGTTGCTGGAGCTTTCCCGTCACTGCACTGCTTCCCACTGCCTGAACCTGGCCAAGAGGGAGTCGCCTGCCGTGACTCGGAGTAATCATCGCTGGTGGAGCCGATGAACCTGAGTGAAAAAACAATATTTGTGAGTGAGTAGTCTAATATGACATCAATAAATTCAATTTGAATGGATACATCTACGAGATAGAGGGAAATCATCAATAAAGAACAATCACACAGGTAGACCATGAATGAACATCAGCACTTCGTCAGGACATGATGATCAACAGTACTTACATCTACCTCACGACGACATTCAGCATCTATAGTGTGAAAGGCGAACTAGAGTGAGATTAGTTAGGAGACTACCATTCCGTCGCTACCATGAAAGCGACACACGAGAGCCGCAATAAGTATATGTATGTTTTGAAAGTAAAAACTACCTCCATGAATCTGGCTCTCGACTGTTATCGTCTTGTTGTTGTCCCTCATGGGCACAACGAATTCTAAAACCGCCTCCCCGCACATGCGGTCCTTTCCTACCTCCTCCGTGATGCAGCGTGAGAGGTCAGAAATGATGTCTGCGCACTGCGGATGCAGCTCGGATGAGAGCGAACTGCGGATGTCGGAGGCAAGTGCCATCTGAGGAAACGCTTCGAACGAATGGGACTCGCGCGACCGGCGTCGCCTAACACCTGGCGGGAGGCGCAGGGCAGCAGCTCCACTAGTAGTACCTCCAGCTCCACTAGTACTGCTACTTGACGCTGTTGTTGCTGCTACTGCGGAGGAGGTTGCTCCGCTCGACGCGGCCTGTTGTAATTGTAGTTGACTCGACGCCTGTTGTAATTGTAGTTGACCAGCGTTGCCACGAGACTGGACTCCAGCAGCCGTAGACGATGACGATACTGCAGGACCACCTCCAAGTGTTGCGTTGCCCTCATTGGTCCTATTCATGGAGGCTGCTGCGACTGAGATCAAGCTGTTGTTCGAGTGTTTGCGTTTCAACCGGGAGGACTTCCGCGACCCCCCTGATTTGCTCCGAGTAGAGCCATCCTGGTCTGGCCTATTCGGATTCACCTGCAATAGAGTTGGAAAGTCTACTCCGTGATTCCCTGCTTCAGATGATCCAGACCGGTTATTTTGGAGCAATGCTTGCGCCTCCGCCGCAAGTTCGCTCCCCTTGGCAGCTACGCCTTGCGAAGTATAACATCCTTCTAGCGTAGAGGTTTTGTTGGCACTTTTAGTGTTCTTGTTGGCGGCCTGCTCCACCACAGCATTCTTCCCTTGCGAATTCATCTCTGCTGCTGTACTAGAAGGATCATGGGATTCGCCTGCCGAGCCTTTATTGATGTTGTTTCCACCTCCATGCTGAAGATTGTCCGTCGAAGGCTGCTTCTTCGCAGAAACGTTCACTTTCCTCTCCTCCTCGCGGATGATCTGCACTAATTTGAGGGGAAATTTCCAATTTTCGAGGAACTGTGTATCGGTTACATTGAATAAATCTTCCAGCGTTTCTATCCAATTATCCTCCAACAGTGCGACAAATCGGTCCACGTTCTTTCTCAGTCGCAGCCCTATCCTGCGTAAGAGATCGAGCGAAGCTGGCGGAGGTGAGCCAACTCTTGGCGAAGACCTCCGCTGAAGGACAATCGGTGATTTCTCCACAGCCTTCATTTCCACTAGCTTAATGTTGCTTCCTCCAGCATTTGTTGTTCCATTGTGAGCAAGAGGAACTTGTTGGTCTAGAACTGAGGAGGAACTAGAAACGAGAACCGAGGAGGAACTAGTTCCCGTTGCAGCTGTTACAGGCCGTACTACAAGGCTAGTTCCTTGTCCTAGTCGGTTTGAGTTTGTTCCGTCAGGAGTAGTTGTAGCGGAGGACGAAGACGTGGAACTTGTTTTTGCTATGGGTTGTTCATCGAGGCACTTGTGCTCTGCAGTAGTTTCATCTGCTTCTCCCGTTTCTGATTTGAGAATTGCCTTCGCAGTTGCAGGTGCTTCCTCTACTTTTTTCTCTTCGAAGATAGCAGTAGTTGAGTCTTCCCCTACAACATCCACCATCTTCTCGTCGCCTACTTCGTCTCCTTGAAGTCCTTTCTTTGAGGCAGCTTGATCCTGCTTTTCAGAGGCGGGTAGCTGATCCAGGTGCTCTGCCTCGACAAGAATCGCCTCTCCAGCAGACGAACTCGAAGACGCATCTCCAGCGACTCTTTCCTCTACTTCACAATTAGCATCGGACTCTTCTCCAATTTCGTTGACACTTTCTCCTCCCTTAGTCAGGGCGGTTTTTTCTTCCCTGTAGTCAGGGTTCGGCGAAGTCGCGACGGGAGAAGAGCTGCACGGCGTCCTCACAGCAGCAGTGCTAGAAGAAGATGCTTCGTCATGGGCGTCGACAAAAATCATTTCTCCTCGTCCTCCGTGATCATTAGACTTATCTTTATAAGTACTTCTATCGTGGTCTAGAGTACTTTGTTGTTCTGTTGACGTTTCCTTTTCTTCATCGTGCTCTGCTACGTGTTTTTCTTCCTCGTCCTGCAGCTCTTCTTTTTCTTCTGTAAGAACAGCAGTTTCATCATCTTGATGTTCTACTTTTTTGTTCTCCTCAACTTCTTCTTGCTTTGCCTCTAGTACAACGTCGGCTACATTGATCTCTTCCTCAACATCGGATGGAGAGCACTTTTGAGTAGAACGAGGGCCATGTTCTTTTTGCTCTTCATCATCAGACTTAAGAGTTGTAGTTGTACACAAATTCCCGTCCTCCTCCTGAGCAGCTGTCGTTGCTTCGTCTCGTTCCTCCGCAGCTGGCTCGTGAATGTTACTTTCAACAACTCCTGGTGCTGGACCCATCATATTATCAGAAGTTGTAGCAGCAGCAGGCTTCAACTCATGTGCGGGGGCGTTATCTGTAGCTCCCGACGCACCAGCGCCGGTCGCACCGTCCGTCTCATCTGCCATATTCAAAAAATTCAAAAAAACGACATCACCAATTTGTTTCCTCTTTCGATTTCTTCTATTCCTGCTTCATCCGCTTCCTACACTCTGCCCTACACTCTGTGCCAGCACTAGTCCTCGAAATAAATCTCCAAAGTAGAAGGATTAGATCATAGTAGAATTTTCAATTATGTTTAGGTAAGTATTCGTCAACACACTTGTGGTTGTTTTGCTGAATCAGTTCTTGTTCATGTAAGTATTCGTCAACACACTCGTGGTTGTTTTGCTGAATCAGTAAACAATTCTCCTCCTCTTGTCAGGTCGACACAATTGAACAAAAAACAACGGCACTTGCGATTCCTGGACCGACGTCTTTCCTCTATACTTCAAGAAAAGATTGATAACTCAACCTCAGAAGACTCTTGACTGATACAACAAACTGTGAGATTTGGTTATTTTGAAAAAAAATATGCTCCTTTTAGCCTCGACTTATTCGCGTACACATATGTCGGCGCGTTCTGACAATGACTATCACACACTCACTTGTTACTAAAAAAAGGATGAAAATAATCCTCTATAAAATTTGCACTGGCAGCTTCACATTCACACGCATAAGCGTATCAGTGTGCACTGCTTAAACTGATTGGGAGTAGAAATTCAAAGGATTCAGATTCTTGATTCTTGGAAATTCAGGTCAGTCTTTTGGAATCGATTCCTTTTCCTTGTAGAAGCCTACTGAAGATCTAGACCTGAAGACCTACTATGAATGAATGAATGAATGAATGTGCCTAGCAAGAGGTGTTCCAAAGCTGAAGATCCAAAGCTCAAGATCAAATTCCAAAGGCTTGGGCGGATCTTCATCATGATGATGTAGTCACTAAGTCACTTCATTCATTTCATGTGATGTATGAGGAGCTTTATTCATCCTTCGTTTTGTAGCTGATTCATCACAATGTCTCACATTTCTAACGACACACGTCTTCACGGAACTTTGTGTTCTTGTTGGCTACTGTCTCATTCACGGAGCTTTGTTCTTGTTGGCTACTATTTTCGCGCAGACTTTTACGGCATTCTGTTCAACGGATCTTTTCAACTCACCATGGAACTTTTTCTGTTCTTGGACCTCAAGTCCTGAGAGAGAACACGACAGCCAGACGGCCAACGCTAAAGGGAGATCTTGTTGTGACAGCGAAAGAGCTTCTGGCTTGTTCACGTTGAGGTTGAGCACATACAAAGAGAGATCTTGATCTTTCATCGCAGGAGCAGCTGCGTTGAGGTTGAGCAAAGAGGCAAACGAAAAGAGCTATAATATAGTGGTGGAGCAAACCTAACTAATATAGAGATCTCCCTTAATATACCATGAATACACTTCCTTGGAGTTGGAGATACCTTGGAGAGCGTCGTGACGTTTCTTACTGCTTGGCTGTTTTCAACATACAAGAAAAGAACTATAGGGAGATAAAGATAAAGTCCAGGTCTCTAATGCCAGCGAAAGATGTGAGGGTTGACTTTTACGCAGCGAAAAAGAGAACAAATTATAGTGGTACAAGGCCATCACATCAAGTGCGCCACTTCTATCAGCCTGCTCAGAGCGCCTTGATACTGCCTGCTCACAGTGCCTTGATATTGTAGAACCCCTCCGGAAGCTTCCCCAGATTCGCTGCCCGTCGAATACTGTATCCTAGCAGGAGGATCGAACTCAGGATCTTTGAGATTAGCGGAAGTGGTAGTGGGAAGATGGCAACGAATCTACATGTTGAATCTATCATGATCCTATGCATTAACATTAGCATTACTTGCCTCGCTCAACGTCGTTCAAAGAACTTCTGATGTTGTACTACGTACGAGATACTTGTTACAGCCGTCTTGAGTCTATGGTGTAACCCACACCCTCATCATAGAAGGTGCAAATAGATTCATTCCTATATAAATCACGTGTCTCCTATTCAAATATTGAGAATCATAAAAGCAACAACGCATTGAGCCACAGCAGAGAGAGCAGCAGCAGTCGGGTGTAGAGATTCGGGTACCACTTCAGGAGGATGGGCAGGTGACAAATAACCATCGACGTCAAGGGAAGGGCAACGAATCCGATGCGACGGACGGGTATATGAGCGTAGCCATACACACCTCGAAACGGCGACTCCATGTGCTCTCTTCACCTTAGAGCTCCTCACAGTAAAAATATTAAGTTGAAAGTAGATTATCCACAAACAGAAGATTTATCCACAAACAGAAACTGCGGAGTAGATGACATATATATTTGTGGTGGAGCCGACCTAACTAGAAAAAAGACAGACCAGAGGAAGATATAAAAGAGAAAAGGTTAACTATCAATGACTTATATATTGCGTCATGGGATAAACCTAAGGTTTAGAGGTAAAAACTAACCGGTTGTTTTTTTTAAGTGCTTTGAGCGCCGCTGGACTATCAATGACTTATATATTTATATAATAGATACAACTACTTCGAGCCTTAACTTTCCAGCTGCGTTACTTGATGCTCCCTTGTTGCCTGACGATGACGGTCCTGACGATGACGGTGCTCCATGTGAGGACTTAGGTGAGGACTTAGGTGACTGTGAATTGGACCCTTGGTTCGCAGCAAGAGCAGAAGAAGACTTATTCGACGTTGCCTCTTGTTGATGTTGGTCGGCATGTGTTAATGTTGCCACGAGGGCATTGCTACTAGTACTAAAAGTATGAGTAGTTGTATCCCCTGCTGCACTAAAAGTATGAGTAGTATTGGTATTCATTGCACCAGAGGAAGTATTCAGGGTATTCAGCTTGGGAGACGAAGGTTGTGGACTTCGGTGTCCTCCTCGCGAGGAGGTCGTTGCTTGTCGGCTACTTGTTGAAGAACCGGCGAAACTAACACGACTTCCGATCACATCATTCACAAGCACATCCAGTGATTAGAGGTCCTCAATGAAGATCTCGCACATCAGTAGCAACGTACGTACTCAAGTTGGACCAAAGTACCAAGGTACGTACTCAAGTTGTACCAAAGAAATTGACAACAAACAAAGAAATATCGCTTAGTTGTATTAGTGTTTCAAACACACAGATTGACTTCTACTACAACAAATTGACAAGTTGTAGTAGAATTCAATCTCCTTCCTTCTATGAACGATAGTGATTTTTCCTGCGAGGACTTTACTAAGTTCGCTTTGGTGATGAAGCTAAGTTTGAACCAGTCCATTATACTTCTAGGGCATAATTGTAGTACTCGAAGGTGGTGGGAGGTAATGAGTTCGCTTTGGTGATGAAGCTAAGTTTGAACCAGTCCACGGCGACTTCCATCAAAGTCATCAGGGACAGCCAGAAAGCTAGCTGACCTCCGCCTACCTGGTAACTGGAGCTGTCACCGGTCGCTTCTTGACTGCCACCACGCCGCGGAGAGAAGTAGAGACGCGCAAGCACGAGCATGATGTCGACTAGGAGGTAGGTACGCTCCACCATATCGGAGGCCATGATGACAAAAAGGCCCTTCCCGTCATACCGCTTGAAGACTGTACTCTTCAATTCCCCGAAATTGTTCGTTACGATAAGCAAAAACATCGCACTGCTGTCACCGGGAGAATTAATCGCGATGCACGTTAGAAGAGAACTAGTTTCTTCTGCTTTTCGGGAAGGAGCAGATGGAAGCAAGAGCAGCAAGTGGTAGGCAATATTAGGCAATCACTTCGTATAACATGCTTTGTCCTGAAGATTGCACTTCAATCATGACGTTCTTGACACTCAATGCTAAGTCCGAAAAGGTAATATTGACTTTTGAAACCCAATTGTTGATGAAGATACGATAGGTCTTACACTGAGCAGGTTCATACTTCTACGTCGATCGCATCATCTGTCATAAGTTGAGGAGTAAAATGCGTACGATGTGCATCACGGTGTGCACCACAGAGTACAGCATTGTAAAGAGCACTCGCACAAGGGAAAACGTTGCGCTGGACGCGATTCGCTTATTCTTTCCACCTCCGCTCGATTGTTGGCCCTTGCGCTGACTTTGGGCCTTCTGATGGTGATGTCCTCTACTAGAATTAGCGCTTGCCTTAATTCATCTTGGAGAGCATCTTTGGCGTGCTTTTTTTTTAGGAAAAGGGTCCAGGATGCTTCTCAAGATGAATTACGTAAAGGAAGCCATAATAGAAAGAGTGCCTGCAGGACTGCTACTCGATGAAGATGACAGGCCCAAAGGACTGCGGTGCGAACCCGGGCTGTCTGTAGGCGCGAGAAGCGGACTCGAGCCGTCGCCCCTATGATCCTTGGCTGGTGTTTCCTTTGAGCCCCAATCGCCGAGACTCGACCCGGCCTCCACTAAATGGCCCAGAAGCTTACCTACCATGCCGTAGCGTCCTCCACTAGGCGAACGAGGAGACGAGGAAAGACCTGCATCTGGAAGCGCCGACGCTGCATCGATGCGTTGAAGTGACGAAGAGGAAGACTTTGGACTGCTCGCTGAAGGAAAGGGTGGGCTGCTTACTCCCGAGGACGAAGATGACACGCCAGAACCTGGCACAGCAGACGCAGATCTAGAGTTAGAACTAAGAGAAACCCATCTTCAGCAGCGTCCTGGGTCTCCTTTTCCCTTTAAAGACGCGACCAAGATGCCACTGAAGATGGATTTCTTGTAGCCCTAATAGAGACTGAAGAGCTAGAAGAGCCACTATCTCCACCCCCTGACTGCAGGTATAACCCCGGCTCGAGCAGCACGTCGAAGAAGTCGTTTCCCAGACTGCGGAGGAGCCGTTCGATGATTTCCAGCATGTTGAAGAATACGCGCATTAGATCTTCCCTAGTAGTGTACTAGTACCCAGTCTAGGGGTATAAAAGAAAGCACTCTATAATTATGGTACTCTGGTGATTTCCCAAAATGCTTCTGAAGATGGATACCCTGGAAGGCTGCACTACGGATTTCCTGGTAGAGCTAGAGGCAGCCTTGAATGAAGTAATTAAAACCATGCCTGTTCGTGGTGAGTCGGATGAATGTTGAATGATGAATGTTTCCACGCAGCCCAGTGCACTGGGGCTACTCTTGGGATTATCTGGCATCGATAGATGACAGACACCCAGATGAATGTTATGTTGAATGATGGTAGATGGACAATTTTCTGAACTGAAGATGGACTTAATTAATTGGGGGTACTCTCCTGAAACTCTTGCCTTAAGTAAAGTTTCATAAACGACTGGGACCGGATGTAGTGGTAGAGGAACGAGAAGTCTATTAGGTAGAGCACGACAACCGTGTTCGCGATCAGCAACGTCAACCGGAACCGCTCACTGGCTTCGATTGCGGTGTTAGGGCGTCCTACTCTGCGCCGCAAGGAGGATCGCAACACGTTGATGGGCATAAAAGTGAGTTCGTGGAGCAGAGCGTCGAGACACAAGAACATCCCGAACAGCAGCGTCTTCTCCAACCGCCAGGGGGTTCGCAGCAGGTCTTCCAGATGTCCTTAGAGCAGCTCCAAACGATGATGCTGAATTCCTTTCGAAAAAGTCTGTATTTTCTACTCAGAAAAGCGAGAAGGAAACACAGAGACCTCATGATATGTCATGGAACCTCTTTTTTCGTCATTCAAATGTTGTAGAGGCCTTTCAGCTACCCTGTACCTTCTGTCAGAATTCATTATACATAGCGCTGAGTGTAGCCTTAATGTAACGCCCGGCTGTATTTGTAATAGGGTGAGGGCGTATCGCACTCGCCGCTTACTTCCCGCATCAGCCACTGACCAAACGGAAAAAACGAAGTGGCTTCTGTCGATTCTAGTCCAGGAGAACTCAGTATTCCTGGTCCACCTAGAGGTGTACTACTACCCAGAATTGATGAAGCAGGTAATTGCTGATGAATGACGGGGCTGCTCGCACCTCCCTTTGGCGTGCCTCCCGTTGTGCCTGACCTAGCATCGGAGGCCAGAGAAAATGCTCTCCCTCCAGTAAGAGTCGGCGAAGACGCCATTATCGTCGAGCGCCGATGTTGGGCAGTGGATGCTGTAGCTGCAGTAGAACTACCCGTGGTGCTCGTCCTTGAGGGCGCGCTAGGATAAAGGTCAAAAGTCGCCGCCCGCTGACGCGCCGAGCGCGTAGTAGCCGATTGCGATCCTGCATTGAGAGGAGGCAAAAGAACGTCACCTGACAAGATCCCATCTGTTCGGATCGCAGGTGGGACAACAGGAACCGAGCGCCGCCGTCCACCAGCAGAGGTGTTCTTGTCCGAACCCGGCGAGGGCGCTCCAGGTGCTGCAGAGACAGATTAGAGCGATCGCAATCGCATCCCCTTCCTGGGACGTCCTTAAACAGATGATAACTCCGCATCGTGTAGTCTTAAACAGATGATTTCGTGTAGCCTTAAACAGATGATAACTCCGCATCGTGTAGTCTTAAACAGATGTTTTCGTGTAGCGTTAAACAGATGATAACTCCGCATCGTGTAGTCTTAAACAGATGATTTCGTGTAGCCTTAAACAGATGATAACCCCGCATCGGGCACATCAACCTGTGCCAGCCACGCTCCACTTCCCACTTGCTCCACGGGAATCAAATAGTGTTCTCGATCATTCAAACGCAGCGTCGCGTACTTCTGTAAACAGTTCTGCACATTAGTACTTGTTGCTGGAGAAGAAGCCAAATCTTGCGGTTCTCCTACGGTTCTTCTGCTTGTAGAAGCGCTCCTGTCCAAAGCAACAGCTAGGTGGTCTTCACCTTGCGAAGTCGGCGAGCTTCGCGGGTCCGACGACGCGACCTTCCGACTTGACATGCTGAACTGCCCAAAGGTGAAAACATCACTCGGCTCACGAGGCGAGGCGCTGCTGCGGCTGCGACCACTCTGCATCAGAAAATCTTGGAGTACACTGCTCGGCTGGAGGAGCTCTTCTCGCGCAGCTCTCTGCTGTCTACTGCTAGCGTCGTCGAGTTGTCCGTGTTCGTGCGAAAAGGCTCCCGCTATTGTGGATGAGGCACTCGTTTCCCCGTGAAGATGATCTCTCAGTTGCGTACTAGTCCGAGCCTCAAGCACCTGTTCTGTAGACGGCAGCGTCGGTGACGGCGCGGCCCCTAGTTGCCGTTGCGGTAGCGTCGAAGTTGTATCTTGCCGTTGGTGCGTTTCGAACCTAATATTTTCATCAAAGTTACTATCGCTTTGAACCGAAGGTGAGAGCTGCACGTGCGTACTGCCGTAAACGGACGCCTGCTGCTGTGCGCGCTGCTGCTCCGGACTCCTCTGCTCGCTCGAGTCGTGTCTCCTTAGGGGCTTCTCTCCCACAACCCCGGTGAAAAAGTAGCTAGCGCCCGAACCCCGCTCCACGGCCTGTGGCTGCCCTTCTGCAGCATTCAACTGCGACGAGTCCTCCTGATGTCCTCCTAATCTTCTAGTAGAACCACCCTTTATTTTGACGTTCATGTCGGGAGGATGCGCAGAAGTGGTGCCCGTTGAACGACGTTCTCCAATAGCTTGGGTTTCATCTCCAACTACTTGGGTTTCTACACTACCTCGAAGCCCATCGCCTACTTCCTCATGCACAGGCGGCGGGCGTCTGCTTGCTCCTGCTTCAACATATTGCGCTGTTTTTGCGCTGCGGGATGCAAACATACCGCCACCAGCGAGGATAAAGTGACTCGGAGACATATCGGACAATCGCTCGCTTTCACCGAAATCGCTGGAAGAACTCGAAGAGGACAATGGAAGCTGTGCAGCATTCTGCACACCCTCTGGCTCCAGAGTGATCTCTTGCACATGATGACCCCCTCTAGGACTCGTTTGATTCGTATTTTCCTCCACCTCCCCTGGTCCTGTCCTGCCACCTGAGGAAGATGCTGTCGGCACGTCTTCGAATAGCGAATCTAATGGCGTTTTCTCCAGTCGCGGCGCAGCACCTCCTCCTCGTCCTCCTGAGTTTGCTATCTCTCCTCTGCTAGGACTCGCTCTTCCACCACCTCCGACTGAAGCCTGATCATGTGGACCACCAATGTGGCTAGAAGACGAGGAGAGAATTGATAGCCGATCTTTGGACGAAGAAGCCGATGCTGACCTCCCGTCTACGGAAGGGCGACGGCGCTCTCCGCGACCCTCTAGGTCGACGGAACAAGGCGGCTCCGATGAGCGAGTTCGCGAATCGAGGATTATCGTGCTTCCTCCTGCGCCGTTTAGAGTAGAGGTGTTGGACCGTGGGAGCAACGAGAACGCAAAGGGATTTAAGGCTAAAGGGTTCTCGTCATCGTGCTCGAGCCATCGAGCCGTTCCGAACTCATCCCCTGCGCTAATCGAGGCCGACGAAGACGACGAGCGCGGACTCAGATCTGCGTCATCGGTGGCGCTCTGACGCTCCTGACCCTGGTCAAGGTTACTATACTCGCCACTCCGCTCTCTGATAGTGAAGCGCTCTTGCGTGTTCTTGCCGTCATCTCCTACAGTCCCCTGATGTTCTTGGTGCTCATCCGATTCTTGTTGAGCACGATCACTTTGCACATCTCCATGCCCAACACCAGTGCTTGGATTCGCATCTTCTTCGGCGGAGACCAAAATCGCAAGCGGAGTACCAGAAGATGTATCTCCTGCTCCAGCTCCCGCAAGGGCAGTAGGCACCTGTTGCTGCCCTCGTCTGAGCTCGTCGACCGAGGGCGACAAAGGAGCCGGTGGCTCAGGCCGTCTTTGGTGGTCCTTCCGACTGTTGCTGCGGCTGCCCCGAAGCAACTCTTCTGGTTCGGAAAAATAAGCTGCTTCTTCCTCCTCCGCCTCTCCTTGACCTGCTACAGGTTGAAGTCCTCCAGGAGCAGGTGCAGCCTGCCTCTCCCTTTGCTGTTCCTGCTCGAGTCGCCTAGGCAACTCCGAAAGGTGGTCCATCTGCTGTGGTCCTCCTTCTGCCGAAGAGTTCGGTCTTGGAGCATCGTCCTCGACATCTCCGTCAGGGACTTGACGCGTCCTTGAGGCTATAACAGGAGTTGCTTCATCTTGAGCAGTGTTGTCACAGGCGGTCCGTTCTTCAGCACCACTCAGATGCTCCAGCAAACGCCTGTCGGAGGAATATGAACCACCCTCGTTACTCATCTTGCTGTTGCTCGATAAAAGCAAATGAAAGAGGTCATGATGTTGTTCATGTTGTAAAAAAAACTAAGCCACTTGTTCTGCAGAGCTACAAAAACTCCTCTTAGTGTGCGTTGTATGCCGTCACTCTAGATAACGGGTGTAGACTAGAAAAAAGAAAGACCAGAGGAAGATAGAAAAGAGAAAAGGGCAGTTGCCGTCATCAAGTATACTCCTATCTGCTAAATCATAATTACAGGTCAGAAATACAACTCAGTAGAAGACGATCCCAGGTTCTAATCGAGCCAGCCTGTGGTCGAAATCATCCAAAAAATGGTTTTGCTATCTCTTCCATTGTTCCTGCACTGCAAGGCACTACCTTCAAGGTAATAAAAGTTGCCCAAGAAGTATAATTCAGCGTTGAACACGAGAATAATTTATGGATGATCAAGGCGCGCCTCGGTTCCTTTGATTTTCGTCTGTAGTAGATTGTTTCTCTATATATCAGTGTTCTTTCGGTTCTTAACCAAGCTGGTTCTTGAGGTCATTTTTCTTGTCTAGAAAGGGGCTCCAGATAGAGGATCTGTGAATGATTGGCATACTTAATCCCAGAGCCTAGTGGAGCTAGTACACTGGTTGTTTTTGCCTATTGCTGTTTCTTTGGGGCGAGAACAGATACCAATCGACGCAACATGCGAGCGCGTCTCGAAAACCATTGAATAGATGCTTTAGTGACAGATTTGAATAGAAGTAACAAGAGCCTCAGCCTTCTAATGAGTTTTGAGCCACCTAGACACTATAACTATTGGCCTGCTACAGCCGAAGCATCGTACTGATGTCAACATGATCCCCCTTACGGTGAGCTCACAGCATCAACATCAACATAATGGCTGAGTAGAAGTCACTGGATGGAGTTTTTGCTTTCACAAACTGCCTAAAAATCGTGGGTGCCTGCTTCTCCGTCTCCAGATCCTTGTTGCGCAGCTCGCAGTTGAATCTCCTACCGGTAAGCCTACCCAATGAGTATGACATCAGGACAGCCACCACTTCTAAACAGTCAGGAATATATTGTTGGTGGAGCACATCTAACTAGAAAAAACAAAAACCGGAAAAAGAAAAGTCAGGCAAGAACTTATCTACTACTCACTAAGCGCCGGCGCTGTCGTGGTCCTGTCAGCCCCAGAGGTCTCACCTTCTAAACAGTCAGGAATATATTCATGTTAACAAAGGGTCTGACAGCATTGCTTTGCTCTCACTGATAAGCGTACAGGTCAACGCCTAAACCAGGAAGCCAACTGCGCAGTTGAGTTGGCTTAGTGGTTTAGGCGCTGACCTGTACACTTATCACTCACAACCATGATGTACAACAGAGTCATGTAGTTACAGATTCTGAATCCCTAGTCTGGCATGATCACCAATGTTAAAAGCCTTGTATCTTTTTTAGTACATTAGCCGATGAAGAAAGATGATTCAAACAACGTTGTTGAAGGAAAAAATAGCCCCAAATCCACGAAAATAAAATTCTAAATCAATATATGGCGACTTGGTGGCGTCTTGTCAATTTCTGGCATCACGCTTTCTTTAGCATTTCCCACGTCCTGCAAACTACAGGAGACGTTCCATGGTCTTCTACGTAGTAGAGATTCATCACATTCATCAGTTCTTTGAGGTTCTAGCTAGTAAGTCCTAGCCTTTGCGCGCGCCAATTCAAACTATTAACAAAATATCACCAATATGGTCTAAAAATTCGAGCAACTCTTTTACAACTACATGTTAAGCCAACAACTACATGCATCCTTTTTACAACACACGCAATGCTTGAATGCATGCTAGTACCATAGTGACATATAATTTTTAGCTAAATAAGAGAAAATCTTTCATATGGTGATGCATTGGATGCGACTTGTGCAACACTACTGTGCGCTTTTTCGTCACCCGCTTTTTCATCGGCCTTGGCTACTGCGGAAACCTCGACTAGCTCAGTACACCGTTTGCCATCGAGGTCGTAGATCACAGGTAATCTTAGGTTTCCCTTGGAATCGGAATGGCGGTAGAAGTTGACCATCTCCCGATAGCTTTCCACGGATGCCGTGAAAAACTATCCCATTCGCGCTTTGAAAAAACGTCGTCACAGACACAACGGTGAAAAACGAAATTCTACCTGCTCTCTGGAAGCACGTCGCTGCGGAGACAAGTAGAGCCAAGAGATTCGGAAGGACGCCATGTTGCAGTGACCACCGGCGTTGTTTTTTCGAGGTCGGAGCACGAATCAAAGTGGGAAGACCACAGTGGCCAGCCACATTCATCGCGTGAGCAGGAGTACGAGAGTGCCGCAAGTCCGACGGCGAAAGAGCCATCGTCGGTCCAGGCAAAAGCAGCGTCGTCGCCCCTTATGCGTTGGGGACGACGCGCACTGCCTCTTAACATCACATTATCATCCAGCAAGCACCTTCAAACAACGTTTGTTTCAAATAACGGACTCAGAGAAGACACCGACTGTAGCATGACAGGATCCCTTGATAGCAAAATGAACACATACCTATATCATTGATTCTTGCTAATGAGGAGGTCGCGTCCAGACCTACAACTTGCAATAGGGATTAAGATGGTGCGAAATGTAAGTAACCTGTTACAACAGTTCTTCGATGCGTTTCTTGGAGTCTATGACATTTTTAGGTTGACATTGTCTTTGACTACGCTCTCAACCGGCATTCCTAGTAGTGATAATCAACGTGGTTGAGTTCTGTTCAGTCTGGTTAGTGGGTGGCAATAGTTAATTTCTCTTCATTGATAGCTTGTCATCGATACACCTGGTACGTGCATGCGTTTGTTAGGTGATCATGAACATTGTGTGCATTTTATACTATCCTTTTTAGTTCACTGTGTATCTGTGTAGATTGTCCTTATTTTTCTCAAAAATATCCAAGAGAAACCTATCTTCTTTTGACAGCACTTTATTCGTGGTTATCTCTTTCCATTACTCACAGAACAAAGAGATTCGCTATCACCTTCTACTTGACGACACCCAAAATGATCAAATTCAAAATCCAAAAAATTTAGATGCTTCATGTCGTCATTGAGACACTCCTGGACCTCGGTCGTCCACTCCGCTGCCGCCAGACCGACTGCTATATCCTCTGCTGGGTCCACGCTGCAAATTATTAGACCTGAGCCAAATGTATCTTGAAAGAACTGTTCTTGGACCTGGTTTCCCCTTGTCTCTTTCCCCTTGTCTCGTTCCCCTTGCCTCCTAGGGGACAGTCCTTCCGGACCAAGCAAGATGCTCCAGAAGATGGATTACGATTAGGCTACTCCTCCAATAGCATGAAGCATGAATCAGTTATTATTACTTAGGGTCTTCTAAGCCTCTACGACTCCTGAGATGGATAAATAAGTTAACAAGCCATAGAGTCAGCACCGTGTTCGGATGTTGAGAATCTTCCGCTACCTCCTCCGCCCGTTCTCGAACTTCCTCGCGTACTCGTACTGTCTCGATGATCCCCATTCTCGTCATTCGAGTCTCGCCGTGAACTCATTCGGGATGACCTGAACGAAGACTCAGATTAGAGCTCTCAAAATCCGCGATAATTCATTTTCTACTAAGAAGTGAAAGTCATGCTGTAGTCCCTGTTCTTGCCATCGTTCACGATGGCCATAGGGCAGCCGCGGTTTATTTTCTAAGAAGTGAAAGCGATATTAGGACTCTTGCATACATTAATATCGGTTCTCTAGTAACAGTGAATGTTGAAGGGGACACTAAATGATTATCTTTGTGAACGATTATTACTGAGATGTTGACAAAAAAAAATAAAATTCTGAACCAACCATACTTAGCGACTTTTTCTTGAGAACTGCGAACTGTCCAGTAGAGGTAGACAGCCTTAATGAGAATTGGGGGACCGCATCGAGGACGGTCTACCAGAGGTCGCACTGTCCCTCTGCGACGAACTTCGACCTACCAATAAGGGCTCGCTTTCGCGACCACCTGCAACTATGAAGACAGGAAAGAAAAGGGCGGGAGATGCTATGTATAGCTACTCGGTTTTAGCTACTTGTAGATGCACTGCCTCAGTTGTAAACAGAAGTAAGATGATGAATTAGGACTTGTAATGGTAACAAAAAAGCCTTTACGTCGAATACTATGTGATGATAGCAACTCACTGTCACTGCCTCCATAACATCTTCTGCGTCACCGCTCCCAGTGCTTTTCACTAGCAAAGCGTACCAGAAAAAGGAGTTCAAAGCGATAATCAGCCCCAGTGTCAGAATGTGCTGGAAGATACGCGAGCCTAAATCCCAGTCCCCCAAAGTTCTCCACATAGTCACTTCTTTCGCGTCCAAGAAATCCTATGATGTTACATTCATAATGTAAGTTGTATTTTGAAAGAGGGAAAATAAACATGAAGACTAGAAGAAGTGTCTATCATACACGCATATATTTAAGAAGATGATTCGACGCATATACTTTTCCATTTAAGAAGATGATTCGACGAACAAATTTTGAAACTTCAGAATAAACAGATAGAAGTTTTTGCCTAATCAACATCAGACCTAGATAAAAATCAAAAAGTATGTACTTCTCTATGGACGGAATCCTGAACGGGTTTCTTTGCGGCACCTTTTACCTCTTCCTTTGCCTGTTTTAGCGTCTCCGTGATACTACGTTGGGCATTGACCACCTCCTCGTGCACCTGCTCCCGTGCCTCGTCGGCTGCTTGTCTTAGAAGATGATATACCCAGATCAATCGGATCGGTGATGAATTTTTGTACGTAGTAGTTTACAATACGACAGGTATACTTGCTAGTCTTAGAAGAAAAAATGTAGTCTAGTTTACAATACGACAGGTATGCTTGGTATGTGGATTAAGAAGTGCTACCTGGCGAGTTGTCTGTGACAGCATATCACGATGATGGACTTCATAATTGTGCAGCCGCGGCCGCATCACGAGCGCCCTCTTCTGCCCTCTTCGCCTCCAGCGTCGCTTCCCTGACTGCTTCGTCTCCCTTTGCCTCTGCCGCCCTCTTGTCGGATGTTTCGCCTCCGTAATCATGAAAGTGTACGATAATTATGTATGGGGAAATCTCGAAGTACTTCTTTTACGCAACCCTATCTATCAGGGTGCAAAGAAACATGCACAGGCAGAAGACACACGCATTAATGCTCTTTTACTATGAACAACAGGTACTCCTCAATTTTTTTAACAATATCCTGTTGAAATAGTCGTCCTCCTCGTGGGAAGAAGTTTGTATCTGTTGTTCATAACCACGGCTAGCGCTATCCTTGTCTGTCGCTTCCTCTGCCTGCTCTTCCCCTGCGTCCTTTTTCTCTTCCTTCGGTTCCTCTTTTTCCTCCTCCGTCTCCGACTTCCCTTTATCCTTCAGTGACGCCTGTCGTTGAACCTGGCTAGGGCGAGCGGCACCAGCCACATCCGTCTCAGCTTCTTCATCTGTTGCTGCGGTGTGTGCATTGGAGGTCTGGGTCTCAGCATTCATTTTGATCGCCCTCTCGCTCTCCACATCGCCAGCTGCATCTACGACAACCGACGTGCCCCCCTGCTCGCCAGACTGCGTTCTTAGAAAGTTTTTTTGAAAATATTAAGAGAATCGCCGCAGACGCAGCTACATAGTATTCTCGTTGAATCGATCAGTGGAAGAAGACACTGCAGATTTACTGTAATTGAAAACCGTTCTAAAACTAGCACATTCTCAAATCCGACAGTTGCAGTTGGAAATACTCGGAAATGAAAACGATAAATATGGATCTCCCAAAATCGTAACTCTTCTTCAGTCCCCTCTTCAACACTATGGTCGCCGGCGGATTGGGTGTCTTCTACTACGCTATCAAGCTCCTCTTCACTCCTCTCCCCCTTTTCACCTTCCACGCTTGCTTCATCATCATTTCCTTCACTCTGCGATGCTTCTGCATCCTCCTCTCCACTTTGACCCTCCTCTTCGCCCTCCTCTCCACTTTGACCCTCGCCTTCTCTAGCTTCCTCCCCTTCGCCCTCCTCTCCACTTTGACCCTCGCCTTCTCTAGCTTCCTCCCCTTCTGCAGTCTCGGCACCTTCATTCGATTGCGGAGGCTTCGCTGCAGCCTTTGCGCGGCGCTCTGCTTCGAGCTTTTTTTGGAGCTCCAGAACGTGCGCTGGCAGTCCGTTAAGATTCGCTTTTAGTTCAGGACGTTCCTTTTCCAGCTCCTGGTCATTCAATTCTCTTTCTCCTGTTGTTTGTAAAGTTTGAAATTCAAAAAAAAATTACGTCATAGTAACAAGGTTGCTTCCAAGTGGTTTCAGATCGTACTATCATGCGCCAATTGTTACTTAGAAATATCAAGCAAACAAACTACATTGGATGTGGTTTCACTGAGGCTGGATGATCAATACATATACTCGTGCGAAAATCGTCGATTAAATAAGAAGTGCCTGGTTGTATACGTGGGTCAGGCACTGGCTCTCCAGAAATTCGCCCTCGTCGGGCTGCTTTCTTGTCCTTATTCGCTGTGACGAAAACAAGCGGCCACGAGACTGACTCGAAAGCAGCGAAGAGAATCCCAAATCGTAGGGTACCTTTTCGCAGAAGCCAGGTTCGTGCGAAAATCATCCTGTCTCTGGGTCTAGCAAATTAGCTGGGTGCTCAGTAATCTATGTCTACTCAGTAGACAAATTAGAGGTTACGGAATTACATTCCTCGGAACATCCCTGGCCTCGTCTCTACTAGGAAAAGGGCCAAGGATGAAGGGGGAATGTGATTCGAAAACCCTTAAACAAAGAATGTTGAACAGCTCACTACTTCCGATTATCAGACCTGACTAGTAACGAGAATTAAGTTACCTTTGTCAGTGACCAAGTATCATATAGTGGTCTATTTTTCGTAGTACTGCTGGTAAGGATAGGATAGGATAAATCCTTTCACGAAGTTTCAATTGTGTGAGGAAGGCGCTAATTCAAATTCAAGCAAATGAGTTGATCACTCGCTACTTGAGCGAACTTGCTAGTTAAAGATAGGTTCAACATTTGTAACAACTTCCTTCGCGTAAATTGTCGACGAGGTGCTCTTCAAAAATCCACATCTACAACAGGCTACAACAAGAGGAGCTACCCTGCCTCATCAAAGAATACGATGCATTTTTGGCTGCAACGAAAGACGACAACAGATTGAAAAAAAAGACCATGATCACAACGAACTTCATCAGGGACGGGTTCAAATTCAGGGGCAGGCGAAAATCTCTTCTAGGGAAAGATGGGGGTGGACTCTAGATACACGACGACGAGCGAGCGCAGGTTCTTAGCAGGTGGCGTACGTCAGCCCTGGGCCTAAAGCACCGAGAGAATGAAAAGTCATATCCGATGCTGGGACACCGACACAAAACGAAATTTCGTAAGTCCCAGACCGATGAAGGAATCCTAGACACAGATTTGGCGTTCGCTCTCGTGTGACTTAAACTTAGAAGGACAAAGCACCGCACCTTCTAGGTGTAATTTCAAAAAAAACGATGTCCTTATTCTCGCATTGCGGTTCCTGTGATGTGCTTTTTCTTCATGTATCTCTTACTCATATTAGTTTTCATTCTCAAAGCTGTCTGTACTTGTTTTGTAATAGACATTGGTACCCCAACGCATGCCGCAATTACTCTATCTCTTTCCCTTGATGATTTCGAAAAATCGAAGTACAAGTCCTCGAACGAATTATCAGCACATAGAAGAAGCAGAGTATTGAGTATCTGCATTATCTTGATAGAAAGCAAATTTAATTCGATTTTATCAACTCACCCATTGCCAAGAAATCAGAAGCAGTGGTATACATTTTTATCACAAGCAGTGGTATACAAGAAGAAGTCATTGCTACTGTTTTCATCGTAGTATTCAGCTGTCCTGATGCACTACAGTATTCATTCAAGGATCATTTTTTATTTCTTTTTTTGCATTCATCTCATGGGTGGACACGTTGTGCGCATTCATCCTAACAGCATCTTGAGATCTAAAATGGTACATCTTCTGAAGCTAACAGTATCCATAGGTACACGTACAGCAGGTTAATATTTTGTTTTTACTGTAAACAATTGTAAAAATCACAAATTACATCAAATGCAGTGCTTCTAGTCGATGTCCTTGTCCACTACTTACCACAACGCTGTGAAAAGAGCGTTGAAGAGTCCCGTTTCAGCTTCTTGTGAGAGACCAGCCTCGCCTTCCCCTGCTCGTCCCCTGGCCTGCGATCTCTGCTGACCTGCAGCTTTTGCTGTTCCTCGTCGGTTTGCTGCTCCAGCACCGGAATTTGTTGCACCTCCTGGTCCACCTTCCGACTTGGCGGCGGCGCTAAGAGGGCCTCCTCCTGTTGGTGTCACGGATCGGGCAGCACGAGCTCCCGCAGCACGAGCTCCCGCAGGCTTCTGGCTCGCATGTCGCTGTTCTGGCGCGTGCTTGTTATCATGCGCGACTCCGCGACCAATGCCGATGGCCGCCGCACTCTTGCGTCCGTGATTGGTCACGAGTTTGGAACCCGACGGGTTGTAGGTGGTATTCGGCGCCGGGATGGACCCTGTGGTCGGCATGGGGCCTTTCGATGTAGCACGAGTGACATTGCGCGCAACTGAAGATCCAAAACCCGCGGTTGATCCCTTAGAGGCTGCTTTTGCCATGCCGATGCCGGAAATAGACCTGGAAAGGCTCCTTCGCGGAGGCGTGGATCCTGTCGTGCTTGCTGCGTCACCAGCCGCACTGGACGCCCCAGACATGATCATATTCACGTTGGTTTTCTTCTTCAACAAACTCGCAGTGGTCGAACTTCCGCCATCAGCGTACAGATTGCCGCGAATGACTGCTTTGGCAGCCTCGTTGTTGCGATGCGCTGCGTAGGTCGGACGCTTCAGCGGCGCCTCCTTCGGCAGAGGTACCACTAGAGGACCAGAGGGAGGCATCATTGATTTCGGCGCAAGATTGCCGCCACTTCCTGCTCTAGGTGGCATCACGCCAGAGCCGGTCTCATTTGAACTTCGTGAAGGAGCACCTGGTCCGACAGGCGGTTGCACAACAGTCTGCGGAGGTTGCGGAGGTGCAGCTTGTTCCTTTTGCGATATTACCGACTCATCGGCCGCACGAGCTGGAATCACCTCTACCGTTGGAATTGCTGACTTAATATTATCCTCCCCTCTCACAGATGTGCGCTGCTCCTCTTCCTCTGACTCGTCCATCTCTTCATCATCGTCTGCTTTTGGCAGTGTTCTTTCGACAGGTCTGGCTACTACTGATTTCCTCTGCATCTCTTGTTCCAGCTTCTTCTGCCGGTCCCGCACCGAACCCGACCGATGAATAGCCTCTAGGGAGGCGCGAGGCGCAGAGGAGTCATTGTCCTGCGAACTGCTATGGTCACGCTCTGTTGAAGATCCCCGCACCGTGGATTTGCGAGACTCCATCAGCTTTGCACGCTCTTTCACCGGCACGCCACTGAGGGAAGATCTTTCGCCGGTATTGATCTCCACAGCGGAAGCAACTGCTCGCCCGCTCCCATCAGCAGGGGCAGCCGCGACTGCAGTGCTAGAAGAGGGCGATCCGTCGTAGCTCGAGCCATACGGCATATTGCTGCCAGGAAGCGGCACCTCGCCAGTCTCCCCTTGTGAGAACTGCTTCAGCCGGTCTTTTACCCGTGAACCGCTGCGCAGCTTATCCAACGACGCGCGCCGGGGGCCAGCATCCTCTGGTTCATCTTGCTCAACCGGCGCCTCTTGTGCAGCAGGCGCAGCCTTGGGTCCTGTTGCCGTCTTTGCTTCTTGTGGACGCTTCTGTTCGTGGTGGTGATGCTTCTGCGCAGCAGACGGGGCCGCAGCAGACGCTTCCCCAGCAGGCACGCCCTTCTTGGACGACGACCCATCAGCCTTCATCTTGTGAGCGGACACGTGCTGGTGATCGTGGTGCCTGGCCGTTGCTGCCGCAGTCTGCTCTTGTTTGACACCGGCACCAGAAGGCTGCTCTTGTTTCGCAGGAGTCTGTTCTTTTTTCGGTGCCACCGCGACGAAGTTCGAGGCGTCGAGAACCGTGTCTGCAGCCATCGGCTCGGCAGGAATCACGTCATCGGGCACTGCTGGCAGCTGTGGCATGGCCGGCATCTTGTTCGCCGAAGAAGCTATCGTACTAGAAGGAGGTAGTCCGAGTGCTGTGCTAGGAGGTGGCCCCAATTCGTCACCCTGACCTTCAGGACCATTACCATCACCACCATCATCGCCTCCCATCATTTCCGGTGCGCCGGCTTCCTCTCCTTCGACCATTACGGTACGTGGTGCAGCTGAAAGTCGGCTTTTGCGGGAAGCACTCACTCGCGCAGCAGGGACGAACGACGAGCGGGCAATCGCTGGCGCTTCTGTCTCCTCTGAAAGTTTCTCGCCTTTCTTGATACTCTTCCGGATCCGCTCGATAACCTCGTCCCGGGAAGCGCGGCTAGCAAGCTGAAATTCAAGAGAGGTGAAGGTGGATCCATCTAAAACACGAATGGAAGACGAACAAAGCCCAGTGCGTATCAAAATCGACTCTTACTGAAAATCAGAATTCAATTTGAAATCCAAGAAATTTTGATTTCATTCAAAAATAATCAAATTCAATTCCTTGCTTCAACGAAGCGCTCAATCATTGAAATCTACGATTACGAGGTCGTCCGTTTTGAAAGCTTGTTTTCGGTGGAGCTAACACTGGAGAAGTGATGCTGATCATTCCCAAATGACCCAACAAGGACTTCTACAAGAAAGCAACAACTTAAATTCAATAAAAGCAATCTAAGACATGAAATGTAAGAAGTTGTACAGCATCTTGTTTGTCTTGCTTCCCCTTGTCGCCAGTCGCCATTCGCAAAGCCTCAGCGTCTATTACTGAGGATCTTCTTCCAGGGGATTTCGGATCCTTTTCTTTTTTCTTCTTTTTCTCCCTCGAAAGGAGGTGTAAACGCTGTCGCGCCTCCTCTTCGTTTCCTTGGCGTAGCAGCGTCAACAGTTCGGACAGGAAGAGGTAGACTCGACGATGCTCGCTGCGAAGAAACAGTAAGGTGTGGCCAATCGCGACATCCTTCCCGAGCAAGAACTTCGTGGGGACGCCACGCATGTTGTAGTCTTCTTTCGTCTCTCCGCCATTGGCATTCAACATTGCATCGTCGAAATCGATATTCTCTTCGGCGTCGGAAGACGAAGAACTGCTGCTTGACGACGAACCCATTGGCATTGCTTGCTTAGCACCAGGAGTACTAGACGCGGCATTTGAAGATGCAGTACCCGCTTTCACGGAAGCCTTGAGCGCTTTTCGTTGTTCCCACAAAATGCAGTGGACCACACGTGCCAAGAGCAGTTCCAAAAACGCCATCGTCGGACCAGAGATCGAGCTTCCACCAGCGTGAGGACTGGTCCCTTCCGTATTCAGAAGCACCAGCTTGGTCTTGCTTGCAGAAGCTGTTTCACCAGTGGGAGAGGAGGAAGACTTGTTAGCCCCTCTGCTTTTAGAGGCCTGCTCGCCAAACGACATATCACGTACGAAATTGCTCACGCTTTCCGCAGCCTGCCCTCCTGAGTTGTCTGAGCGCTTCTTGCGACCAAGAATCTCACCAGCAAACGCCGCAACCAGAGGTTGGTACTGCAGATGGTACTCGAAGCCCGAAGCCTTTAGGTGGAATAAGTGCATCATTTTGCTACTGATAAGCTGCCGCATCACGAAATCGGCTTGAAACATGTCAGCTTTCTTACCGAGAACCAAGCTTTCCGCGTGAATGTTGTTCCTCCTGCGCTGATCCGTCGTCGCCAGCAACAAGCGAATGAAACGCGAATTTCCTGCGCTCCGCAATGCGTTCACCATACACTCCGTCTTCGCTTCAAAACAAGACGCAAATGATCCACTTTTCATCTCCAGCACTGCATTTCCATCTTTCTGATTTCCTCCAGCTAATCCAGCTCCTGCTGTGAGGTCCACCAAACTCTCTGCGTCGGGTCCGTGCAGCAACACGCGGACAATCGGAACGCTCGACGTCTGCATCAATCGCTCTGCATTCTGTGGCAGGGCCCGCTCGTTCCGGGCCACCCAGCCCTGAAAGTCGTACTCCACGTTCTTGCCGTTGTAGTGCACCAGCTCAAAGGACACTTGGGACGCAGTCAAAGCGTTATTAATATTAGTTGTTCCAGTAATACTGCCAGAAGGAGCACCAGAGCCACCAGAAGGTCCACCAGACGTTCGCGACGTTAGGCTGCGACGACCTGGCATCGTGTGCTTTGGCAGTGCACTATGCTCCACAAGGTCGCGATGGAAAGCCTCGTCCAAATCAGCACCGTTTCTGGCTGCACGACGGTGGCGGTCACCCTCTGCACTGTCCGCATGCAAGAAATTATCCATCTTGCTTACGATCTGTTTGGTGCCATATGAATGTGTTGATATTGCTACTTCATAAAAATACAAGTCAGTGTGATTGTTTTTATTCACGTTGAAACGAGAAAAGGCATCAATCAATTCATGTCAAAACCTTGATATTAAGTGAATAATCATGTGGTCTTGTAGTACCGTGCGCATGTTCTGCAGCAGTCCTGCGCGCTCTTTTGCGTGGTGTTCGAAGTCGGTCGATTTGTCCAGCGAGAGGCCTTCTTGGCGGTAAACCGCTTGTTCTTTCGCCAGCGCGTCTTCGAAGACCCCTTGCACCTTCTCGAAGGCCAAATTTTTGAAGAATTTAGTCCAGCAATCGTCACTCGCCTCAGTCACGTCCGACAAACCGTCCACCACCGCTACCACTGCCTTGGTCGCTAAGAGCGGAGAAAACGGACTAGCGGCACTCGGGTCTGCCGGATGCTTTTCTGCCGCGTCCCGCTGCAAGAGTTGTTTCGCGTGGAGAAGGCAACCAGGATGCGCCTGGATCGGGATGACGGGTGGAGAATCGACAGGAGGAGGCATCTGCATCCTCTTCGTTGAGGAAGAGTCAGAGTCCGTGTTCTTCTTGCCAAAGTGCTCAACGATTTGGGCCATCATGGGCGCCAGCTCGCCGCCCAAGCTTTTGTTCACTGAGCGCAGCACGAAGCGGTAGAACAAACGATTGTAGACGACGCGGATGAAGCGGCGTAGTTCGGAACGCAAAAACTGAGTGCTAGGCGGCGCATTGCTTACCATGGAGGTCGTGGCAGCACGCATTGGCGCTCCCATCGGATCGGCACCTGCACCGTCACCTGCATCGTCGTTGGGTAAAGCTCCTCCTGGTTTGATCACATTAGCGGGATCCAATTCGATCACGGCGTCATTGTCACCGGCAAACCCGTCCTCTTGGACGTGCTGTTCGTGGCTGCCCCGCTCGGCTGGCGTGCGCACCGGGCTCAGCGTCAAATAGGCGTACAGCCGCTCAGAATCTAAACCCAAGAACCGGCTGGCGTCAATCAGAAACTGCTGGCTCGGAGCAGTGAGCCTGGCGCGGCTGGAATTGCCACTCGTGCTTGTGCTCCTGTCTTCACTCAACATCGCACTCGCAGTAGAAGATGGTTCTACGAATTCAATCCTCGAAAGGACTTCCAATCCGGCCAGGACGCGTGCCACTTGCGCGACGTTGTTGTCGGAGACGCCCAGTGCACTCAGCGCTTTGCGCAGCGCAGGGTTGCCCAGGGTCACTCCCGCGTTGCGGAAAGCTTCACTGGTCTCCTCTTCGAAGCTGATGCACGGGCTCGGGCCTGTCCTCGGGTTCCCCTGCACGCCGCCGTAGGAGCTGAGACGGCCTCTAGTCGGGATCGCACTCGGCCTGAGAGGCTGCGACCCTGCTGGAAACCGCAAGTAGTCGAACACGCGGTACTCGGTGGTGTGCAGATGCAGGGGTCCAAACGTGGGCTCGATCATGACGCCAATGCAGCGCTCCGACTGGTCGAACACCAGTTCCGTCACGTGGGGAAACGCCAAGGGTGCGCCAGGCAACACTGCAAACTCTTTGAGGACGTAGCACGCCATGCGGTAGCGATTGGCCAAGGGAACATCCGCGGCTGCTGCAAAGCCGACCGACACTCGGTCGGACGCAGACACTGGCGTCGAGGAATCAAACTTTCGAGGATTCGGCAAAATCAGACTCTTTGCACGAAACGAACTACCACGTAGGGAGTCGGAGATTGTACCAGTATTGGGCGAATTGGCGGAATTCTTCGAGGCTCGGCGACTGGTGGTTCGCGGCGAGAAGGACTCAGGGTCAAAAGCGGAACTAGCAAAAACTTTTGCGCAAACGCCTGTAGCCGTTGCACGCTGTTTCGTCGACTTCGATGCAGCAGCAGCATTCTTAAAAGTGCTGTCGTTCACATTATTGCCGGCGCCATCCTTGTCGCCTGTACCAGTTCGGACTCCATCGAGCGCCAACAACTTGGTGATCACGCTTGCGCCCACGCACCTAGTGCTGTCTCCGAGGCAGACCAAGGCGCCGTCCTTCTCTGACAATCGAGTGCCGCGCACAGCTTCCGCTCCACCGATAGTCCTCACGCCTTGGGCGGTTGTAGTAGTGCCTTGGTTACGACCGGAAAAGTAACCTTGCTCACTGTCTAAGAGGCATTCGAGGCCCTCCTCGGCAACGGTTTCGTCCAGAATCAAGAGGTGGTCATCACGTCGATCAGAGACGAAAGTCCAGCCATGACCGTGCCTCAAGCGATCCTCGAGGAGGCGCAAAGCCTCATGCTCGCTTGCCGCGGGAGCACCACGGCACATCTCGGTCAAACTCTTCGATGTACGCGGCATCTTGCTCTTCTAATTCTTGGTAAAGATCTAGTACTTATACGTATGAGCAGTATGTACTACTATCTCTATGTACTTATACGTTTGAGATATAATTATTGATCTTGTATTATAACCAAATAAAGCCTTATGCAAATAAGGACTTAAGCAACAACAGGAATAAAACGAGAATCAATGGAAACGATTCAATGTTGGTTGCGCGAGGAAAAAATTGGAATTCAAAAAGAAACGTGGGATGAATAGTTCAAATTCCTCAAGATCATTAAAGAGGGAGAGGGAAGAAGTCAGTGGATTTATGAGGAGTTATATCCAGGAGGCGCCTGAGAACAAGGAAAGTCTTGTCGCTGACTGAATGTGGAAATACATTTCATCAAACAGTGACAAGAATGAACCAGAGAGCCTCTAATTGGCGTAACATCATAATAAGTCTCTCCTCCCAAATTCAATTACCCAGACACCTCACACGGAGCCGATCGCACATAGCGACAGCTCACGCAGACCTGATCTCACTCGCACAGATTTTTGATTTTTCTTTTTAGAGACACCTCACTCAGCGACAGATCATTTTCTCAGCATCATCATACGTCTCTGGTGGACATTCTCTAGCACTTACGGACAACTCAGTATCAAACACAAATGACAAATAAACCTCTCAAGATTCTTGATGAAAGTACAGAAGCCCAAGCCTCTCAGTCTAAACATACATAGATCATGAGGGTACTACAGATAGCCCTGAAAATCCACACACTCAGTCGCTACAGATGATGATGCTACCCAGCACGGGGTCTCAAACAGAACCTCTCAATTCTTCTCTCGCTTATTGTACTTCAAACGCGCAGTCATAAAGCGAATGATTTTGTGACAGCGTAGCAGCCGTTGAACTATTTTTCGCGTGGAAATTCGGAAATTCTATGAGTAAGGATGATTGGGATTCTGGTTCATAACATATCTAAGCATCGAGAGTGGGTCGTTTTGTAACACTTAATTTTGGATGTTTCTTTTGTGCCTACATCAAAGCGGTATTTTTATAAGTAAGCAGTTATGTTGATATTTGTGTCAATCCTGACTGTTCATTTCGGTAGCGACCTTTGCGGAACCGCATCTCCAGTTGCCCTCCTCTCCACCCTCATCGAAATCCGTAAAGCTCTCGAAATCAGTATCCGAGTAGGGAGGCACCATCTTCTCCGCCCAGAAGGCTGGCGTTTAGACCGGTTGGGCTCGGTTCGCCGCCCTCCGTGTGGTGGTGTGGTGCGGCACCTCGCCACAGTCTGTACCGAACGCGCCCAGAAGAGACAGAGGACCAGGACCATCCTCGGCGAAGTGTCTCAACGCGAGTTTTTGACTATCCCTGGTTGAGTGGGTTAATCCCCTTTCATTTCCTCTTTGGATTCTTTCCCCTTCATAAATATCAAGGGGAACGCCACTCAGCATACCCCACACGGGACATTGAAAAACTAACCTTAAGTGTCGAGAAGACGACCGCGAAGCCTGTGCACCACGCGAAGCCCGATCAGCTGGCGTAAGTACATTGCTTCCTCGGCTACTGGAGCCGCTGCTTTTTTCGGAGGAAGCGCTGTCGCTCAGCTTGCGCGCCTTGCTTTGCGTGTCTCGGTTCTTCCCTAGAAGACCCCCGACTTGCACCCCCAGATCTCTATCAGGAGAAGAGGAACTCACTGGGCCAGGGCTGCTACTATTATGCGCTTTCAAAGGCACTGCTTTGCTGGGCCTCGGTCCCAGGCGCTGAGCGAAAGCCAATGGAACGCGGCCCCGCAGCGGCCTCCGCGCGTCTCCTCTATCTGGCCCGGTGGCGCGCCGCGGTCGCGTCTCTCTCGCTGGGCGGTTAGTGGGGTTTCCATGCCCATAAGCTCGGGCCGAGTTCCTACAGGGCGCGCGGCGGCTTGCGTAGCGTGCTGCCACACTTCCATGGCCGACAAAGGCCGGGCGGGAACACGGTGTAGGGGCGACAAGGGCCTCTACAGCGGCTGACGGGAATAAAGCCGGCCGCTCTCACAGAGGGCCGCGCCTTCGCCTCCCGAGGCTGCAACATTTTTTGGCTTTCGGAACGCTACGCGCCGGAGCGTGAAGAAAATCAAGCGAAAAAGGGCCGCCCAAGCTAAAAAGAGGCACTCGCGACGCACGCGAAGAGAGAGAGAAAACGGGCCGACACTTGCAACACCACGGGCCAGAACGTGAAGGGAGCCAGCGCCTATGCGGAAGGCCTGCGCAGTGGAGCACGGGGCCAAAAATGGAGCCACCGCGCCCGAGCCTGTGGCCCCATGCTCCAAGCCATACGCCGCTCGACAAGGAAGGGAAGGCGGTCGACGTTTGAAACGAGACGGGCACAAAGACTAAGCAAAGGCTTCCCGGGGGCCCTGTGTACTGGCGCACGAGGCCAAAAACGGACCCACCGCGCCCGGGCCTGTTGCCCTATGCTCCAAGGCAAACGCCGCTCGACAAGGAAGGGCGAAAGGCTTCTGCCTTTGCTTTATTAACGACGCGGCCGCAGCCGTGCAAAACACCAAGCCCGAAGCCGCGACACATAAAACCCGGCCAAGGCTTGGAGCATGGGGCCAAAACGAGGGCCCGCACTGCGGGCCCGTGGCTCTGTGCCCTAGGCCGGAAGCCGCTGCGCCGGTTTTCGTCTTGGTTTTCTTGACGACACAGCCCAAGCCGTGCAAAATACCAAGCCAAAGGCCGCAAACCGCAACACCGTGCCAACGCTCAGAGCATCAGGCCCAACGCGGGGCCCGTAGGTGTAGGCCGGTGGCTCTATCCTCCAGGCCGAGAGCCGTTGCGCCAGCTTTTTTCTTGGTTTTCTTAACGACGCGGCAAAGTCCACCGCGAGCAAAATATCAAGTCCAAAGCCGCGAGCCGTGACAATTAGCCAAAGAGGGGCCATGGGGTGCGGGCTTGTGACCTTATGCTCCAAGCCGGAAGCTGCGACGGCGGTTTTCGTCTTGCTTGGTTTTCCTACCGGTGCGGCCGATAGCGTGCAAAGCACCAAGCCCAAAGCCGCGAACCAGGACAACCGGCAAAGGCTTGGAGCACAGGGCCCAAGTGGGGCCGCCCGCTGCTCCAAGCCGGAAGCAGTGGCGCCGGCCTCCGCCTTGGTTTTCCTAGCGCCACTTCCCACCGCGTGCACAATATCAACCCCAAAACCGCAAGTCGCAAAATTTCGCAAGGCCGCGGCGCTTTAGCTGAGGGCCGGAGGGATCCGAAACAGGCGGGCGGGGCGCGGCGGCAGTGCGCCAGCCCATCAGCCAAGCGCCGGAGTGATCCCACAGGCAGGGGGGCGCGCGCCGGCTTTTCGACTCACTGCCACCGGGATCCCGCAGGCAGTGGAGGGCACGCGCCCGCCTGCCAGCCTGCGGGCGGAAGAACGCAGCCACCGGGCCAAAATAGCGGCCAATGGGAAAAAGGGCCGGGCCCCTTTGCTCGTGGCTTGTGTTTTTTCGAACGGCTTCGCGAAAAAAGCGGGACCCCGTAGGGCGATCTGCAAGAAAGCCGAGCCGCCTGAGGCCGTTGGAGCGGTGCACCGACCGACGCAAAGGGGGCGAGCAGCCTTCGCCCCAGCGGCGGTTTTTTCCCGGCTTTTCTTGCAGTTTTTCCCACAAGCTCGCCAAAATTCGGCCGCTTTTGCGGCAGAGGCCAGTCGGAGGCGGCCCGCGAGTCGTCGACCCATCGCGGACCGGCTGCCCGACTTGGAGCATCCGGCCAAAGGCCGGGCCCGTGAGTGTGGGTTCGCGGTTCTTTGCGCCGGCGCCGTCTCTTCCCCGGGCTTTCTTTGGGTTCGGCCGACAAGCTCGCCAGCAGTCGGCATTTTTTGGGGGAGGAGGCCTGTCGAAGGCGGCCCCCGAGCTATCAACCCATCGCGGACCGGCTGCCAGACTTCGAGCTTCAACAAAACAAAAGCCGGGCCCGCGGAAGCGGGCTCGTGGACCTCTTCTCCAGCGCCGGCCGCTTCCAGGGTATCCCTGCAGCTTAGCCAACACACCTGCCGAAGACCGGCTTTTTTTTTGGCGTAGAGGCCCGCCGAAGGCGGCTCGCAAGTCGATCGATCGCGGACCCGCTGCCAGGCTTGGCACGTCGGGCCCAGAGCAGAGACCGCGGACCCTCGTGGCGTCCCGGTGTGGTCCAAAGTAGTGCCCCGATTACCTTACCGGGAGGGGCCCGTAAGGCCACCCTCTATAGAGACCTACGGGAAAATCCATGGGCGGGCTTTGTTCCACCCCCATCAGCTTCTCTGACCCTCTCGCCCCGGCCTCCTTGGCCTCCGGTGGAGTCTCCACTGGTCCCCCGGAAGCCACGGGCCCTCCCGGTTGCCTTTGCAGGGAGACCACTAGGGACCCGACAGGAAGCAGGGGCGGGAGGGTCGGGGAACTAATGGGGTGGGGCACCGCCCCCACTGGTTTCCCCGTGGGCCTCGATAGGGGGCGGCCTTAGCCTGATGGCTTAGGTCGCCCGCTATTGGGGCCTCGGGGAAACTAATGGCATGGAAGAAAGTGGCGCGCCCTTTTTGCCATTAGTTTCCCACGGGGTTGCGGCTTTCTCGCTTCTATTCAGCTTAAGTGGCGAGGGTGCCGCGCTGCGCTCGCGCGTGGGTTCTTCCTGGCCGTCGCTCGTCGGCAAATAGAAGCAAGCGGGCGCCTCGAATTGGGAAAGAGCAAAGACCTTCTTGCCATTAGTTCGCACGGGGGCGGGGCTCTGTCGCTTCTATCAAGCACAAGGAGCGAGAAAGCCGCCACTTTGGCAGTGCGGTGCCTAACTTGCGCCGAGGTTCTTCCCGTCGTCGCTCGTCGGCAAATAGAGGCGGGCCCCCCTAATGGAGAAGGAGCAAAACTAGGCTGCCACTAGCTAGCACGAAGGCGGGACTCTGTCGCCCCATGCAGGCACAAGTAGCGAGAGAGCCGCGACTCTGAGGGCAGTCGTGGGGCCTGCGACTGGGTTCGTCCTTGCCGTCACTCGTCGGCGAATAGAACTAGAAGCGGGCGCTCGTATCGGAAACCTGGGTAAGGATTTCCCTCGCGTCGACTTATCGCGGGCCGGTTGCTAGGGCGCTCTGCGCTGCGCGTCTGTTGTCGACTTATCGCGGGCCGGCTGCTAGGCAGCCCCGCGCTGCGCGCCTTTTGTCGACTTATCGCGGGCCGGTTGCTAGGCAGCCCCGCGCTGCGCGTCTATTATCGACCTATCGCGGACCGGCTGCCAGGCAGCCCCGCGCCGCGCGTCTGTTGGCGACTTATCGCGGGCGGACTGCTAGGCGGCTCCGCGCTGCGCGTCTGTTGTCGACTTATCGCGGGCCGGCTGCTAGGCAGCTCCGCGCTGCGCGTCTGTTGTCGACTTATCGCGGGCCGGCTGCTGGGCAGCTCTGCGCTGCGCGTCTGTCGTCGACTTATCGCGCGCCGGCTGCTCGGCAGCTCTGCGCCGCGCGTCTCTTGTCGACTTATCGCGGGCCGGCTGCTGCTCGCGCTGCGCTGCGCGCTTCTATCGACACATCGCGGGCCGGCTGCTAGGCAGCTCCGCGCCGCGCGTCTCTTATCGACTCATCGCGGGCCGGTTGCTAGGCAGCCAGCTAGGCGCTGCGCGTCTGTTGTCGACTTATCGAGGGCCGGCTGCTAGGCAGGTCGGCGCTGCGCGTCTGTTATCGACTTAGCGCGGGCCGGCTGCTAGGCACCTCCGCGCCCCGCGTCTGTTGTCGACTTATCGCGGACTGGGGGCCAGACAGTCAGGGCTTCGAAGGGAGGCGACTCTTCAAGGGATCACCTCCCCAGGCTGAAGAGCGTCGAACCTTTCAGCGAATTGCGAGGGCTGCGCGCCATCTAATGGCGGGGGCAGGGTCTCGGGCACCAGCGTCGCAACAGGCAGCGCACGATCGCGGACAGCCAAGGCTTCGAAAGAGGGCGGCTCTTTAAGGGAATCGCCCCCCCAACTCGAAGGACGTCGCACTTTTCAGCGAGTTGCGAGGACTGCGCGCCACCTAATTGCGGAAAAAAGGCCCCAGGCATCCGCTTCGCGGCCCGCAAACAAACGAGCCCACGACCGCGGACAGCCAAGGCACGAACGCGGGCGACTCTTTAAGAGGATCACCTGCCCAACCCGAAGGAAGTGGCACGTCTAAGCGAATTGCGAGGACTGCGCGCCATCTAGTGGCGGAGGCAAAGTCACAGGCACCAGCTTCGCGACCCGCAGGAAAACGGGCGCACGATCGCGGACAGCCGTCAAGGCTACGAAAAAGTGGCGACTTTTTAAGGGGATCCACTTCCCAGCCCGAAGAGATTCGCACTCTTAAGCGAATTGCGAGGACTTCGCGCCACCTAATGGCGGGGGCAAGGCCTTAGGCCTCAGCCTCGCGACCCGCAAGCAAACGGGCGCACGGTCGCAGACAGTCAAGGCGCCGAGAGACGGCGGCTTCTTGTAAGAAGGACAACCCCCCAACCCGAAGGGGGTCGCGCTCTTGCTGCAGCGAATTGCGAGGACCACGCGCCACCTAAAGGCGGGGGCCAGGCCTCCCGCGTCCGCTTTCCACGCACGCGCGAACGCTGCGAAGCCTCGCGCGTGGCCTGCGCTGGTTTCGGCTGGGTTTCCTGTTCGGAAAGAAGCTGGCGAAATCTATTGGGAAGGCCCTGCCAATCGCGAGGAAGTTACGGCGAGCCCGTCCCTTTTCCTCCATGGTTTCGCGCTGGTCCCTCCAGGAGGCAAGCCCGTAGTTTGGGACCTCGACCCCGGGGG